TTTAAATCAAAAAATAAAGACAAAAAAAAACCCAGTTACCTTTTCCTGGAAACGGTCCTGCCTCAACGACTCCCTCTTTGGTGCTGTCAAAGCCATGAGATGTTATTTTGGTTTCAGAAAGTCCAAGTTCAACTGGTAATGAATGTTTCAAGTCCTTGGAAATATATGAATAAGATCGGAAAGTCAATGTTTAAGAAAGATAAAAGCGACTCAGAAGTATTAGAATGCAATTCCAGCAGCTCTCAGACAGGCACTTTTTGCCTTTAGCCTGGAACACCTTCACTGGTGTCACAGCATTCTACTGCAATGCACAAATAGGACATAAACAAACAAGAAATACTAATTATTACCTGTGTATTTATTATGGAATATTTTTTTATTGATGAACAACCAGAGTGCCACCTCAGAGCAGCAGTTACCAAAAATGGAGCCCAAAACATTTGCATGTAGTCTGAAGCTGGTCCAAACAACCACATCAGTTTAATAGCTATATATTTTAACAATAGTTAAAAACTTACAGGCATACAGAATGACCCAAAACTAAGTGCAGACAACACCTACAAACCAAAAATGTGTAAACAATTATCATAATGTTAAAGCTAAAACAAACAAACAAAAGGCACTGAGCAAGAAATTGCTTTAAAATTCACAGCAACCTTTATTTCTACAAATAGCACACGAAATCTCTCCAATATTTGATAAGGGAGAAACATCTAAAAGGCACCATCATTTCAACAGCTTCCTTTTGAGCACCTAGTCTACATTTCACAGCACAAAGTTGCCATTTGCTTCTGTTTGCTTTTGAAACTCATGGATCTAAAATTGCCCAAGATCACCTTGTTTAACTTCTGAGAGACAGATTAAGCAGTACAACCAACTTCCAGGCAACTGAAGTCTTCACAAAAACCCAAGCAAGGCCTAGTACTGAACTATGAATTCATACACCATAATTCACATACCATCCTAATGCCCAGTTCTTCTATCTCACCCACCTCTACAAATGACTCCCAAAGTTTCCTTGACTATTATTTCCAGCCATCTGATTGAAGTTTAAGCCTCTGGTATTATGGAATATACTTAGAGCTTTAAAAAAGTTCAGATATTCAAAGCATTTTAAAACCACTAATTGATAAAAGCGAAAGCTGAGGGAAATACTACTCGAAGTAAATAGTGAAATTTGCAGAGAAAAACTATACGTAGCTTTAAGAGGTCAGTGTCTGGACACATGCGGTAACTATTTATGATATATGCAATGCTCCTAATTACAAAGAAAACACAAGCTTTAAAATCCAGTTCATGTTTGACATATCACTGTAGTTGCTCCATGCATAAACCAGAAGCAAGCTAGTGCCTAAGAATGATACCGCCTAGAGGCTCAGATTGTTAAGAAGTGACTTTGGATCACATCCCCACAGACTCAGTTAGCTGTCTTTAGTTTAAGACAAACTCCTGTCAAGAAGAGAAAAGGAAGAGCTACAAACATGAATTCCAGCAGAACAGAAATCCTGTTGACATAGAAAACCCAGGATGTTACTGTAATCAGAGCAACCTACACCTATAGCCGTACTTTCACTCACATGGAATACCTATTTAAGAATAATTAAGCTGTATTTGTGTATCTGAAGCATTACACCAAAAAAATCCAAACAAACAAACAAGCAAAAGCACACTGAAAACCCTCAGCATGAATAACAAATAATAGTCACATGCAGAACCTGACCGCACAAATTAAGTATATCACAACACTGGATAAATTGCTGTTTTCAGTCTTCACAACGGACTTAACACTGGTGCTTCCATTTAAGTACTCGCAGTTGGTGGTATGCCTTTGCTTCAACTTAGTTTAGCTAACAGACTGAGTCCACTTAATTCAAAATGTAGCAAGTCACTAAGAGCTGAAAAAGCAGAGAGACTTGAAAGAGGATAACCAGACTGAAGAGGAGAAGATACATTGAGTATTGATTTAACAAAAAGGACATGGCATCAACTCTTTTTTCTTTTCCTGAAGGCACCTTGTCACATTGTAGAGCTTTTGGAAGTATCTAAATCTGTAGCCAAATAAACATAGACAGCTAACCTGCTGAAGCATGTTCGCAATAGGAATCTAAGCAATCATCTGTATTTAAGGTTAAAATGCAGAACATCTGCTTTGTAAAGACAAAAGTTTATACCTAAACTTAAGCATTTGGACAACTTCTGTACATTCAATTTTATTCTAATTTCAAGCTAAATACAAGCTGAACAAACTATACTTAAATAAATCAGAATATTATAACACACGCATCTCTTAAATAAAAACCCTGATATTTGGAGCATGAAAATTATTAAGATCTACAGTTGTGTTTATATACACATCAGGGTATTTACATAAAAATATACATATGTATGTATATGTACACAAACATACTTGTTTGAAGAGAGCTATACTTTGTTCATTCAAAAAGGCAAAGTCCAATGTAAAGAACTGGTTTCAAACGCATTTTAAACACTTATATTAACCAACTGAAATACACTCTGCTAAAGAAACATAGCTTTGCACATGAATTTAAAAGAAAGATTTACCATTTGTTGATTTATACATGACCAGAATTGTCATCAAAAATGCAGTGATCATCAAATACTACCTTTTTGTTGTTTATAAACATACAGGTTACTGTTCAGTGGAGACACACTTCTGCATGTAAGCTTCAAATTTTAACATGTCATTCTTGTAACATGCTTGCTTTTTTATTTTTCACACAAGTGTAGATAAACAAAAAGAGCTACCCAAAAATCTGCAATCATTCTGACAAAGCAGTCTATCCCTTCAATAATTTACAAAGAATAACTTAGAAACAGCCTTAGATTAAGAAAAGACATACACAAAACTTCACATTCATGAGAAGGTATGATAGTACTTAAGGAGATTTCAGAGTGGTAAGAAGGCAACATAAAGATTTCTTTGTTCCCACCAAATGTAGATTTGCTGTTCCAACAGGGGAAGTGAAGACAGATTACCTTACTATACGGTGACTATACTTTGACTACATATTGCTTTTCTAGTTAAGAGGAAGAGTTTGATGATCATAAGATCTGGTTTCAAATTCTAAGTGACTTCCCCCCTTCCTCATAAAAGGGAAATAAAGTCTTTAGAATTCACGAGAATTTGCTGATACATTTCAAAGTCACAAATCTGCTAATGGATCACCACCAGCTCCTCCCCTTCCCCAGCTTAATTCCTAATTTTCAATTTTATGAGGCTGAAAGCCATTGCACATTCATGCAATTATCAGCTAGCAGAAGTATTTTTAATATGGTAACTTCACTGAGATCCAGAGCTAGAGGTATAAAAATCTTACAACTCAGATTTCCAAGAAGTCAAAAGGTTTGATTACCTGCCCTATTCTTAAGTCCTTTAGCACACTAAGGGCTCAAAGCAACAAAAGGACAGAATAAAGGGACACACAACAGCTGTACTAGCTTAGTTAGGTCTACTCAAGACTGTGCAAACCTATATTGCACAGAGCATTTAAACCACTTTAACCCTTTGTTAAAATCCCATTTTAATTAGTTCAAGTCACCATATCAAATGAAACATATCTTAGTAAAGTTAGCCTTATTTACATTACTCACAGGAATATTCATCAGCTTATTATACAGATCACCTACATGAACCAGTAGGGATTTTTGACGTATCAATCCTGTTAAGACAGCAGACACAGCAAAGGAGTCGCTCAGAATGCATGCTTATAAAGAAATGTTGGTTGGGTTACAGTACTATTATCCAAAAGATACTTCCCATCCATGCTACCCATAGTATGCTAAAATGAAGAGGGGAAAGATAACAGAATTGCATTGCTTCTTTATCTGTTGAAACTTACTTTGTAGATACTTACTGGAAACTAAGGCAGAAGTAAGCAAACAACATCTATTAATTTCTTAGTTTTGTCAATCCATTATAATGCATGACTCTTGCTTAGTACCAACAGGAAGTTTAATAGATATGGTTTTGCTTGCCCTTATTACCTTGAATAAAAGTGTTTTAGAACCTCCACACCACTAGCTAGTTCAAGTAGTCTATTGAAAGTGGAGCAACAAAACTGGGAACAACATACGCTTGTTTATTTTTTAATGATGGATGACATTTTAAATAAAACTACTCAAGTCACCTTCAGGAAAAATTTGTACCACATCTGATTGTAAAGCTCAAAGTGTAAGTTTTAAAGATTACAAGTCCCATGAAACAAAGTGTTACGTAGAGACACATAACATCTATCCAGAAAGATAACTGGCCTTTAACTTATTACCCTAATTTGTAGAGCTGCATGTATGTATTCAGCATTTCTTCTTCTCTTTGTCCTGTTAGGTCACTCAGCTCCTATTTTACATGAATTCAACTACTAAATTCTCACATCAATATAAATTCAAGCATAAAAATAAATGGGAGGAGAGCTTCAGCTTTATTCTATGCTAAAGTGGCAAACAAGATGGGCTGACAGATTTCTTCTGCTCTCCAATACACTGCTCTTCACTCAGAAGACCCTTCTACTTCATCCCATTTGACTTACCTAATGTACTATGAAGTTTTAAATTAGCATTCCTTTTCCTTTCATCATTAACATTCATGTCTTTAGTTTTTAAGACTGTATGAAGCAGACTACTTGGCAACAAAGACTATTTTTTTTTGTTTCATCTCCTAGAAACGGTTTTCTAGAACTGACACATAGAAATATACTTTAAATATCTCTATATTAATTAAAATATCATTTCCCAGTGTAAAAATCTAACCACGTTAAAAACCTAAGAGATGAACTCACATGGTTCAGATAGAATGTGAGTGACAAGGCTTGGCATTTTTTTCAGAAGGCAAAAGACAAAAAGGAATTCACCTTATCTATTTGTGCAGCCTGGCAATACAATCACAGAACAAGATATTGAACACATGCACTCAAAGTCATCAGATCCCAGAGCTTATTTCATACTTCTAAGATCAATTAAAGACTCATGACAAAGTTAATGCCTCTTTTGCAGCCTTAAGTTTATTACTGGTATTACATACAAATGTTTAGTAGCAGTTTTGTCCCCATAAGAGTACAAAAAGAGCCAAGAGAAGAAAGTCTATATTGAAAATAAAAGGAAACAACTGGGTCAACAATTTCAGAGAGTCAGAAGGACTTCCTATTGATTTTGTACAATAGTTTAAACATAATAGCTTACAACTGCCCAAATACCTTTGCAGGCACACCGAACAGTTTTTTGATTAATTTAATTTATTCCGATACAGCTTTCACACTATATGGCACTGCACTGAATTAGGAATAACACACTTCCTCACTCCTTCCCATAGTCCTCAGCTCCCAATCCCCTCAGTGACATTAAAACCCTACTATTCTAATCACATAATTATAATAGCACGTGAGGAAAACTGTTCTCAAAGTCAAAGGTAAAAGAAATAAACCAGTGGAGAACATAAACCAATGAGACTTTTTTGTATATTGAGTTTTCTTGTACAAAGTAGTCAGAAAAACATGTTTGATTAGGAAACACTGAAGTCCTTCCTCTGTTATTAAGACAGACTAATAAACACGCAAACATTGGCAAAAGCTTGTATACACCAAGTTTTTAATGTTTGAGTTTCAACAGAGCTTGGAGAGCTGAAAAGCACTAGGTCAAGCTTTTTTGTAATGAAAGGACATCAGACATTTCATCCAATGATGTCAGATGTTAGTTAAAAAAGTTTTCATCCATCATACAGGCAGGTCAAAACTTGTCAGAATTCCACAGGCATCTCTTATTACAAGCAAGACAGAATTAGAATGTAGCAGCATATTTCTGAACAAGACTTCACAGTTAGGCAAATGCTTATTTAATTTACCTTATAAATATGCTTTTGATTCTTTTTCTTAAACATAAGAACCAAGATGATGCGTCACGTAGCGCTACATCGCATTCCCACAAGACTGGAATTAATATGCTTCCTTCTGAAATGACATTATGGCAATCTGTGCTGTCTGATGCTCTGCAAAAATAATGGCATTTTTCTTCAAAGAAGGAGCAACCCTGCTTGCTATTTCCAGGTTCAAAAAGAAAAATTTGCACTGCATTGCCTTGCAAAATGAAATACTTCTCATGCTTGAGTGTATACAAATACTGCATTTGGCAGAAAATAAATGTGCCTTTTCATGCCTGAGCAGCTTATGGATGAGATTCTAATGGAAGTATCATGCCTGAGCAGCTTATGGATGAGATTCTAATGGAAGTATTAAACAGAATGTGAGAATAGAGAAAAGCTTAGTTTTGTAATTAGAGAACTCTGAAGAAGAGGTTGTACAACTATCTCTTTACTCAGTCTATCAAAAACATACAATCAAATCTGCTCAAGTGTTTGTTGCAAAATAGCTGAAGAAGACCTAATTAAAAAATAGAGAAGAAATCATGTTTTGTTGCTTATATCTGAACTGTACATCATCTAAATGAATGCCTCCCTGATGATAGCAGTAACAAGAAACTAAGATAACTTTGTTGCCCAGCTGCCCAAGAAGGTAACTGAAGTCAGTATATTGGAGTTCAAGCGCTCTAAACTATACTGTGCTCGCATACTCTTCCCAGCCACTGTGGTAGCAGTACAACATCAAGTGGTAATGCTTTCTTGCCTCTTTCTTAAGCTACCTCTTAAAAATCAGTACTTGGCTTGCCATTTCCATAAATCAATAGGAAACAAGACCCTTGAAAACTTGGCACAGAAGTTTTGTGGTGCAATGCATACTCCTTTAGGTTAAAACAAAAAATTACCTGGCAGTGAAAAAAGGAAAATTGTAGCATTAAGGATTAGAAATAACAAACACAAAGCAAGATTAATAGAAACTAAATATTAGAATTTGAGACTACCAGATTAGTAAACAGACCTAGATGTTAATTCCAAGAAGTTTGTTTTCTGTGTTTTGTTTATAAGCAGCCTTGATTATCACATATTCTGAGTTTAGGTCACACATGCAGGTGTTAACTTGTACTTGACAGTTAAAATAATTAAAGTGCACTTCACCTTCACTGATCTCAAAATAAGCATTGTGAAAATAATTACAGCAGGAAACTCAAATATGGTTGCACAGTATAAATTTTCTGCAACTCGGCCAAGTATTTGGCCCATTTTTGTGAAAGTGGCAGTCTCAAAATATAGTTGACTCCAAGCCAGCAAAATTATTGGCATACCAGCAAAAACCTACTTCAACTTTTATGTGGCCACAGACAAAAATTACCTAACATTTCAACTTGCTGTAGAAAACTGTGATAATATTTTGACTGAACAAGGGCTCTGACCCAGTCAACAAGAGCACAAGTTTCATTTACCGTAACTAAGCATTAAGCACTACACTGAAGAAGCAATTATTATGTAAGGAAAAGATAACTTAGCAGCATCAAGACATGGCAGCATCAAGGTCATCAGGCTCAGAAACAGTAAACCTGTTTCTCTACTTGCAGGTGAACCCAAATTCATTACCACTTCGAGGTGTGCCTCTGTTGCCCCCCTAGACACAGGTACATCTTTATTGACATTCAGTTTTAACTTCATTTCATTAAACATTTTTACATTATGTTACTGGCAGGTCTTAGTTCAATGACAAATCTTAAGAAATACAAGCTTTCCCTCACTGCAGTGGTATTTATAAAATAATCATGGACAATTCAGCAGAAGCAGAAAAATTGCTCACTGGTAAGTGCAGTATTTTCCAGTAAGAGCTCTAATACAGATGAATTTCCATCACACGAAGTTTTATACTTTACAGCCGTGCTCACTATACAGCTACCCTGAAAGCATTATCAAATGCCTTTGATGTTATTTTCAGAATGTATTTTTATTTTTAATATTTAAAATACATGTCTACATATTCAAATTAATTTTAGTTATAAAGATAATATCAAACATGTTTAAAACTATACTTTTAATATATATTTAAATGCTTGCTTTTCTGCTTTATGAATAAAACTGCTGCTTTAAAAATCAGTATCCTCAAGGCTTAGAATCAATAATTTGAAATGTATATACTTGATTGTGCATTACAGAGCACCAAAACTTTACACTACTTAACTTTAAAAAAACTTGCCACTTAACACAACTTTCAGACAAAAAAGTTATTACAATGTTCAATATCTGCTTTGGGTTTTTTAGTAAGCTTTAACAACAACTTATCAGCTTTGAAGGAGTTTTTCCATTAAAGCTAAAACCAGAAGAAGAAATTAGGTAGATGCTTATTTCACCAATATTCAGGACGTTTATGTCATTTATTTTTAAATTGATGAAATTCCCCAACTCTAATCAGGATTTTAGCAGAACAGAAGTAAAATGTTGAAGCTCTTATCAGTATTTCTTTTAGAAATAATCCTTCACTGCAAGTCAGCATGGGACTGTTAAAGATTAGAGATTTCCTTAAAATCTAAGTCTCAGCAGGTATCAAATATACGTGGACAAATAACTTGCCTTCATATTTCCAACTGAAATACAAAATAAAATCAATCCCAAATTCCATAAACTGTACCACAGCACCCTCTGCTGGACAGCAAACATGAGAAGAACAGTAAAATAATATCGATGCTAAGGGAAAGAACTCAAAATTGCATACAAATGATTACAGAAGTATAACTTCGTTTTCTAACATACAGCAAATAAGATGTCATCTATACAGCATACAGCAATATCATAGTGATTTTTCAGTTTCAACCCAAGTTGCTTCTTTCCTATTTACACCTTCAAATCAGAACGCGACTAACTTTCCTTAGTTTTAGGCATGTTGCACCCAAACCTAACACCAATTAGAAGCAGCTTGCCCTGAACAATTTGATACTTATTCACAAAAAATTTAGGCTTTAACAAGTCCTGTGAATTCAGGCTATCGAGTCTCTCATTTTAAAAATGTTTGTTGTCCTGTTTATGACTAAAATTTTCTGATTAAAAATCAGTATCCTCAAGGATCAGAGACAAGAATGTAGCAGCATTCTTGATTGTGCATTACAGAGCACCCAATTCTTTACACTATTTCATGCTCAGAAATATCTGCCATTGCTAGCATGCCTTTCATACAAAATTGCAATGTGCAACTTTAATAATAATTTCTGAGCTTCAAAGGGGTTTTGCCATTAAAGCTCTAAAAAACTGCGTCAAGTGCAGTCTGCTACGCATCGCATTGTAACTTTAGCATTTCTGATAATGGTACCTTGTTAAGACACCAAACAAAATTCTTACCCTGTTAAAGCTGTGCTCATGAGAATCTTCCAGCTGTCCATTGCTAGTCACAGGAATTTCTGCTGCTGAATTTTTGGGAGACTCTTGAGCCATTGCACCTTCCTACAGTATAAGAAGAAACAGGTTAGCATTTGTCTTTAATTTCCAGTGAGTGATCCATATGAAAGTACTTGATGTATAGGTTTCATGACAGCTGATTTTATTTCAAACTCTTATTTGTAATATTCTGATATACTAGGTCTGTATATATTCATTTAACCACACACCCAAATCACATTCATATGCTAGCACAACTCAGAGAGAAGTAATGGAAAGCTTCAAGATCCAAGAGAAAAGAAACACTAAAATTTAACCCATTGATAAGGGGGTCAGGAGGTGCCAAACACAAATGAGACATGTGGGGCCAGACAAGTATTTTTTATGCACACCTGACCTTTAGAGTATTTTATGTACCTCAAGCTGTAAGAAGATGAACTTGGCTAAACAAAAAAAAAAACTAACAAAAAAACAAACAAAAAAAAAAACAACACCAAACAACCTAAAAACCCACCCCCAAGATTGTACTAGATAAAACTACAAAAAGAAAGTACTGATTCCAAACTTTCAAATAGTTTAACTTGCTTCTTATTTTAGCATAATATAGTGCCACCTTCTGACTGAACTGTCGTTATACAACACTCATTCAGCCAACAGCAGTAAATCTGAAATGAAATGCAGAAACAAGAACTTAAAAGCACTGACGCAATTCAAGAATCAAAGTTAGTTTCAAAATGCAGCTGAATTATGAACAGCAGCAGCAGCTGTGAAACCACCGCTTTTAAGAATGACCTAAGGTGTAAGAGAAATTCCCAGAAGAAATTTACACCTGCAGAGGGTGTTTACAGGCACCCAAAGAGGGAATGGCAATCTAACACTCTCCAAAACTAAGAAACCAAGAACTTCCAAATGTTCATGCTTACATAAAAGTCACCTGCAGTGTTCAAACCAGCCCCTACACCTGTGCCAAACTGTGCCAACACCATCAACAAGTACCTGAGAAAAGGGGTTTTCTTCTCTTAAAGATCCTAAAAAGGGAACAAGCTCTTTTCAGTCAAAGGGTCAGGAAGAGGCCAAGTGTCTGAGATTACAGCTTTTAAAAAAAATTCTACACACACAGAGAACAGATTTCACATCAGTTACGAGAAAATCAGTGTGCTGTGAATTCAAGAAGTAACTTTAACACTCGAACTTACCTCACCAACCCCTGTCATTTAGGACTTAGTCAGCAACTTCTTTCAGCACTGGGAAGGAATAGCTCACAATGCCACATATTAAACATTGGCCTAGCATACCAAATCCCTCAGACAGCCCAGTCTTCACCCACCCAACACAAAGCAACTTTTTGGGGGGTCATCGTTCATACAACAGAACAAACTCAGAACTCATAGCCTTTAAGTAAATGAAAATACTGAAGCACAACAAAAAGGTCTGTTTCTTTTATGAGTACTTTTAAAGTAGCAATTTGTTTCATTTCATAGGACATCTCAAGTTGGAAGGAACCCATGAGGATTAAGTCCAATTCCCTGTTGCTATCAACATCTTTAGATCAAATGTTCTAGTTATCTGTCATATTAGATACTCATTTAGGAAATCTGTCCAATAGCTTAAGCTCCTTAAGATTGCTCTCAATCTCACACCTGCTAGAACTCCCAGACTGCTAAGAACTATGCTTCTACTTGACACAGTCAAGTGGGGTATTTTTCTAAATGCTTGGCCTGTCACAGCTACCTGCACAACACTGAAATGTCAGCGCAGGCTCACACAGCTATTTTTGTTCTTCTTTCTGCAAATTGTCAGGAAAGTGTCAAAGGGAAGTCCTGTACTATCAGGGGATACACTTCATTTGGCAGGGATCACAAAGCTGCATTTCCAAATTTAATTAAAGGCAAAACATATATTGGCTTGGATCCTTTTCATCAAGAATCTCAAATAATTTTGCTAATGTTGTACACTGATGTATGTTTATCCATTTCTTCAGAGATATACATGCTCACACATACGTATACATTTCTGCAGAAAATACTTACATTAGAAAACAAAAATTCATCAGCTTTTCTGAACAACTTCTAATATCTAAGACAAGTAAGAAGCAATACACATTTTTTTAGGCATTCTTACCCAAGTCAAATCTATGTACCAAGTTCAGAGAACGCAAAAAACAACCTGCTAACTTCAGTTTCAAGTTAGGTATGTACTAAAACATCATTTTCCATTGCTGAAAGAAGGACATTTCATCACTCTGCTTTCCCAGTCTCTACTGTTAGCTACAGTGTTCCACCTCCCAGCCACTCGCCTGACTGTGCTGTAAACACATTCAACTCACTAGCCTGGCAACAGACCTTTCCACCAGCTTATTTTTCCCCCAGTTTCAGGGACTTGATTCAGTTTGCAATGAGGCTAGACAAGCACCAAAGACATGAAATGAGCAGCTGAAAAACAGAAGTAGGATAAACTGCTAATTTGGAGCGGCCAAAACAAGAAATCATCACCTGCATTTTAGTCAACAGCCAAAGCTAACACTGCTGCCAAGAAACAATTCCTTGCCCTTTTTTCTGGCCTTTACCCCTAAGTCTTCCCCCCAACAGCTTTCCTCATTCCCCTACCTGCTCCCTGGGCCAGAACAATGCATTTGTACAGAAAAAAAGACTGCAGAAACACTGCACGTTAAAAGATGCCCAAGGCTCAAAATTTTCCCATTCAAATTAGTTCATCACACAGCTCTAACACTTGCACCTATGAAACAGAAGGTGTGACAATGCAGTAAGAAACCGAGAATGAAAGACTGCTCTCAGCCACAGCATCAGCTTACTTCTGCAGTGCAGCATCTCACTGAATTGTGTAGTATGGTTGGAAGGGACCTTAGTATCATCCAGTTCCAACCCCCCTGCCATGGGCAGAGACGCCTCACACTTAAAGCTCTGTCCAACCTGACCTTGACCAAATACTTCCTCTAACTGTGGCCAAAACCAGCAGCCATTTCTCTTTGCCTCTGGATGCATGTTCCTGCAACCTCACACAACAATGGTAGGCTTACTGATCTGAGATCAAATTAAACCACCAAACCACAACAGTACTTCTGTTGAAACACTGAGTATGATTGCTGAATTGTGTGCCCTTTGGTAAGTGGAGCTCACAGCTGATTTAAACTAAGTATATAAAAAAACCCTGAATCGGGAGAGGGGAGAGCCTAAAGTAAATCTAAAGAAGTTCCTAAATTTGTATTGATGCATTAGGCATGAATGACTAATACACAAAAGAAAATTCCCCTTTCTTCTTGCAATACTTGCACATTTCAGACTCTACCACACCTAAATCTATTCAATTTACAAAGCAAATACTGCAGCACACCAATAAACTACTGGTTGAAGTAATCCTTTGTTATGAACTAACTGTTCTTCATAGTGTCTCAAAAGCAGCCCCACCCATTCAAGATAATGTACATGGACTCATACCCCCATACTAACTTCCCTGTGCTCTGTATGTGAGAACTTTTGACCTGAAACTGTTGCTGGGAATGGTTGACTTCACACTAATATAATGATCATCTCGGCTAGACTGAACCTCTTCTGCAGCTGGATGAGACTTATCAAGTACTGTGGATTCACTGCTGTTTTCTGACATACCGGAACATGAGACAGGTTTGGCATGCATTGATAGATCTGAAAGGAGCCAGATATTGCAACTTACAGAAACCAAAGTAGACTTTCAGTAAGCATTCATTTTACAAGTTCTTCTAAGGCAAACAGAAACCTCACTCTTTTGATGGTGAACAGGTCTTTAGCTCTCCAAAATCTAACTAGGACTAGGAATACAGTCTAGCTGTAGTCTAGTCTTCCTAGTAGCTTCCACTGGCAAAGCAAGCTTCCCCACACAGACAGCTAAGCTTGCAACATAAAACCCAGGAAGTCAAACAACGTTCTTCAGCTGATATTTACTGTCACCTGCAACAATACATTAATTGTATCCTACCATTACAAAGATCACAATTTTATTAAGACATGAGATTTACCCAAACACTGAGAGTTTATATTCATGTTAAGCCACTGGAACCTAGCAAGTTGTTAAGTCTGTTACACCTAACTAGAAACAGAATCCCTTTCATTTTATTCTCAAAAAAAAATAACCCCCTCACCTACACAAGGCAAAGAAAAGTCAGTAACACTGAGCACATGTGCAAGAAATCAGCTCTGTGAGTACAGTGATCATGAAAGGTAAGTTATGCACCTGAAAGAGCTTCAGTAAGAAGCTAAATTTCATTTCACATAGCTGGTAAATACAGGTGACACTGCAACTCACCCAGCTGTTTAAGAGGAGGAGACAACCAATCATCAAAAATTAAACAGTCTATCAGTATTGAGCATAATTCACACATGGCTTCATTAACTCTTGCACCATTTTATACGTGCTCAGCCACATACCAGATTAAGAAAAACTATGACGAGATCATTATTTTTACTGATATTGTGTTTCCTAAGCTACAAAACATTTCAATTAAAGCAAATAATTAATAAGGTAAGCAGCTCACATGACAAGGGAAATAAGGACACAAAGGCTGAGAAACTGAATCATCTAGATCATCTAGATAATAGTACACCAGATAACCTATTACTTTACTTTGGAAAACCAAACACACAAAACAAGACATTTTTCCCCAGAAAAACAATTCATTCAGGGCTACCACTGAATAAAGTTGGATTTTTCTCCAACCAATACAAAATCCCTTGAAGTAATTAAAAAACAAGTATAATTTATTTGTCTGTCTTAATTTTCTATAATTCTTTTGAATATGAAAGACTGCACAGCAGACATGCTGTTTTCCCCAGAGTCCTGTCCAAACTCTGCTTGTGGCTGAAAACAATCTCCTGCTCAACAGCTTATTTCTGAGCAGTTAACACATCTCCATTAAGGACTAGAAGAATGTAATTTCTTTGCTTTGCTGGTTAAACAAGAAGCTCAATTCATCTTGTAGTGCAGTCTTGCTAAGACAATTTGTACCTCAGTTTTACCACATTAGTGATCCTGGACTTGGGTTTGTACCTCATAAACTTACATACCATGGTATCGCTGTTTAAAACTATTAAATGATACAAGCAGCAAAAAAGATTTTCTTGATTGCCTTAAGAACTCTTAACAACAAGGCACAAATCATGTCATAAGCCCCTGCAGAAGACACTGCATAATGACAATTAAGTCTGTAAAATCCAAATTAATTCACTATTTGTGTTACAACCTCCCCCCACACACAATTTTTTGGATAGTAGTATTCTCCCACAAGCAGTAGCAACACTTTCAGCACAGCTCTGCAGGATCACACTGACCAACTTTAGAACATCAGAAGGGAAAAACTGTAGATTAAAGGTGGCTTTTTAACTGCACATTCTACTTTAACTACAGAATTTGCTGATGACTGCTTCAGTGGCAAAAAAAAAAAAAGGCATGTAAACATCAAATGCTGGATGTAAGGGTAAAAAATTTCTACATGTTTACAAAGATTCAGAAGGCAAGATATTCATGTGAAATTGTGCAAACATGGTATCTACATACATGTATTACCTATATTTAACGTTCATTAAAAAAATGCATAGAGACTTTTGTATCTCAGTGCTCTTGTAGATATTAGAGAAAGGCTCTTTATAAGCTCTTCAATGCAGTGTGAATTTTGCATTATCAATTACCTTTTCACTAAAGCAGCCATGACTTTAAAACATAATAGGTGTTCAGTGTTCCCGGACATTTGTTACCATCACCCGCAATTACAACAAATCAAAGATCTCCTATTTGGAAAAAACATGCCTGATCCATACTCTGACATTAATCTAAGCCCAAACACCCATCCTCATCACTCGTGTCTCTGGATTTTCTGGTTTTTCCCACTAGACCAATCCTGCAACTCCACACGACTACTGCACCAGAGTAAAACAGAGGGACAGAACAGACTGAAAATCTCCCCCCATGGCAAAGCCGCTCTAAATGCATAGCTGACTACAACCTCAATTATAGCCCACCATAACTAAAAGTGAACAATTTTAAAGTTTTGGGGATTTATATATATAATTTCTTCAAAGTACGAAGTAAAATGGAAAGCAAAGCAAAAACTTATAAACAACAAGTTTCCTTCAGGATGACGACTTCAGAGACATTTAACCAGCTATAGTTAGTGGTTATAAGAGCATGCATATGGACTTCTCATAAAAAAAGACAAATTCTTATTTGCTTATCCGTGCAAATATGAATTACATCTCATCAACAATAAGTCTGCTTTGAATAAAGGACTTATTCTTCACATAGTTATATTACTTAAGTAAATGAGAACCATGGGATCCGCATCAATTACAACTGCTTTTCTGAGCAGGATGCACTGCTTCTTCACTTAAGTTCTTATCTTAAATTAATTGCTAATAAAGCAAAAGCAAGATATCTTTTGTCCAAATAAAGTTAATTACACTTTTATTACTCCACTGCATAGACAAACAATGAATGTTTTTGTAACACCACACTAAATGCAAGGGCTGGTGGAAAATAACAATAACCCATTTCCTTAATTTCGATTTCTATGAACACTTATCACTAATTCTTGTCAATATTAACTGGCTTTTAAGAAGTATTTAAAGAACTGTATCAAACAGTTTCTGCTGCAATCACACCACAAGTTTCCTCCTTATGCTCCTGAATTCCCCGGCTGCTCCACTTGCATGATCTAATTATGCTTGAAAGTTACAAGACATGGTGGAGGCAAGGACTGAAGAACTGGGCTGCCACTAACTTCCACACTCTCTGCCCCTAAACACCTTAACACTCTGCTCTTCTCCACATTAGCTAAGGCATGGGCTCCCATTACGGTTTCAATGACTACCAAAACAGAAAGCAGCAGCTGATAAAGATATTGCCTCAGCTTCCAGTTTTTCCCATCTAATGTTCTTCTGTATTAGTTACTCCTTATATTTTAACCATGCATGCATGCATATATACATACATGCGTAAAGATATATAGGAGTCAGACAGCCGTTTAGAGTTGCACTGATCAAATGACATCCTCCTCCAGCCCTGAAAAAAAACCTCTTCTTTTCTAGAAAATCAACACTTAGATAATAAAGCAAGGGCAAACTCCTTGTTACCAGTTCCACCAAGCATAAAAACCACGTCAGACACTGATATTGACATCCAGTTCAGGGCATGAAAGATGAAAGGCTGTGAGGGGGTTTCAGTGAAAAATGATAGATCGGAGATGTACTACAAGCAACACCAGAAGAACTGCTTTTGGTGTGTAAACAATACCAAATGTAAGACCTGCTTGTCACACAACACCACGGTGTTTCCGTATTTTAAGAACAGAAAGCCAGCTGCAAAAAGACAAATTGAAACGCTTAAACCAGTAATCGTCAGGGTGCGGAGTAAGTCCCAGGGGCATGAAATTTATGCAGCATCTGAAGTTTGCTTCCCCCCCTAAGAAACAGGTGCCTTTTCCCTCTCGTGAAAGCCAACTTCTGCCAGCCCCCTCCGGGTGCCCACCACCACCCGGAGATCCCGCCATAAACAGGCAAGGAGATGGGCAGACCGTAAACCGCCCCGCGCACCCGGCCCCAGCCGCCAGCACCTGCCATGAAGGGCAGGGCAAGGCGGCCGGGAGCAGCCCCCGGTGGGCCCCCCTACCGGCTGCGGGCTCCCCCCGCTCCGCCGACAGGCCCAGCCGCCCGCTGCCAGCGCCAAGGGATTGCTGGGGAAGCGGAGACCACTCCCGCGGTATGACACGTAGGACCGGACGAAGCGGGTACAACCCCGCTGCTGCGCCTCCCGCGCCAGGCCGGGCCAGGCCCGACCTGACCCCGGGGCCCAAAGGCCTCGCTCCAGCCTGCCCCTCACCTGCCGGCGGCACTGCTGCGACCCCGGAGGTGTCGTGCCGAGGGGGAAGGGATAAAGGGAAGGGGGAGGGAGGAAACTGGGCAGGGCGGCGCCGGCGCCCCTTCTCCAGCTTTATTTTCTTCCTCCTCCGGTACCAGGAGGAGCCGGAAACACTTGGCCGGAAAGGCGGCTGACGGCGGCAGGCTGCGGTCTCTCTAGGCTGTTGCCTGTGTGTCTATGGTTGCTACCCCGCCGAGCCGGAGCCATAGCAACCAGAGCTGGGGCCTCACCGGGCGGCAGCGCCGCCTGCCTTGCCCGCTCCGCTCTGTCCTGCCCTGTCTGCTCCTCCTCTCCTGCCGGCACTTTAATTTCACTCCCTCCGGCAGATGCTTCTGCAAGGGCGGCCCTGGTCTGGAGGCCCAGAGGCAGTTCCCTCCCCGGTGCTGCCGGCGCGGCGGGAGGCGCTGGCTCCTTTCCTGTGGGGCAGGTGTGGGTAGGCTGGTCCCAGCCGTGGTACCGGCCCTGTCTAGTCCTCGGCGTGAGGCGCGGCTCTGGGCCGGCTCCGCAGGCGAGGCGCTGTTGTGCGGGTGTCAGCCGAAACGGGGAGGCTGCCCCAGCCCCTGCCAACTGCCATGCCCCTGAGGTCAGAGCAGGGGACTGGACACCGGCCTCATCCAAGGCGCCGTGCAGCCGAAAGCGGCAGAGCCCCAGTGTGCCTGTCCGGGTGCGCGGCTCCGGAATTCGGCCCTGGAACCATGGCTGAGGCTTCGGGGAGTCCCCTGTCCCAACCCACAGTGCGGAGGAAAAAAAGCATATCTATCGAGGAGAAAATTGACATCATAAGCGCGGTGGAGAGTGGTGAGAAGAAGGCAGACATTGCAGCCAAGTATGGCATAAAGAAGAACTCCTTGTCTTCAATCATGAAGAATAAAGAAAAAGTTTTGGAAGCCTTTGAATCCTTACGATTTGATCCTAAAAGGAAAAGGCTAAGGACCGCTTTTTACACCGACCTGGAGGAGGCATTGGTGAAGTGGTACCGAATTGCTCAGTGCTTGAACATGCCAGTAAACGGTCCTATGTTGCGCCTCAAGGCTAATGATTTTGCCCAGAAGCTCGGACATAATGATTTTAAATGCAGTAATGGCTGGCTTGATCGTTTCAAGTCAAGGTATGGATTAGTTTTCAGAGCTCAGCCTGCAGAAGCAGCTGCTACTACTACAGTAGATGCTTCAACACTTTGGTACCAAAATGTTCTTCCTTATTATTTAAATGAGTATCAGCCAAAAAACGTGTTTTACATTCAGGAGACTGGATTGTTGTATCAGATGTTACCACATAACACATTTGCATTTAAAGGGGAAACTTGTTCTGTAGGTGAACTAAGCAAAGAGAGAATAACTGTAGTGGTGGGTACAAATATGGATGGCTCCGAGAAACTTCCTTTGCTTATTATAGGAAAAAACAAAAGTCCACACTTTTCCAAAGATGTGGAGTCACTACCTGTGGATTATGTAGGAAATGATATGGCATGGATGACTTCAGAAGTGTTTGAACAGTGGATGCACAAACTTGATGACAAATTTCAAGCACAGCAGCGACAAGTAGTTATTCTTGTTGATTCTCTCCCAGCTCACACAGAAGTAAATAACCTGAAGTCTATCAAATTAATGTTCTTTCCTCCAGACCCTTCTTCATGTACAACTGTGAAACAAAGGGTTATCAGAAGTCTGAAGGTTAAATACAGGCACTGTCTTATCAAGAGATTTGTTGACTGCATAGAAGGTAATGAAGAGTTTATGCTGCTTCTTCGTGATGCAATTGAGATGTTGTACCTGTGCTGGAGGGAAGTAATGCCAGAGACCATTGTAAAACATTATAAAGAAGCAGGATTCAAATTAGAAACCAAGGCAAATGGTGATGACACAGAGGCTGAGACTGATTTTAATTTGCTTGCACACGCACAGGCAGCTGGAGTGGAGTTTCCAGAAGGTTTATCTTTGGAGGAATATGCAGCTCTAGATGATGGCTTGGTAACTTACGAAATGCCCACAAATAACAAAGGGATGGGTGCCAAAGAAAGTGAATCAGATAAAGCTGTGACATTTGTTTGCAATGAAGATGAGGATGAAGATCAATTTCAGGGAGCTGAACAGCCTTTACCGTCAAAATCTGAGGCTATGAATGCTTTAGATACCCTTCGAAAGTTTCTCAGAAGTCAAGACACGGATGATTCTCTTCACAATTCCTTAGCTGACCTGGAGAATTTTATTCAACATGTAGTATGTAAATAAATAATTTTAGCAAAGTGTGAAAGCATGTAGTTGGAGAAAAAAAAAGGGAAGTATATAAAGACTTGTATAAACATAGAAAAATATAAAAAGGAATCATATAAGTAAACACAAATAGGCAGTTTAATAAGAAGTGTTGCTGCAGTGTTTTCTAGTGTACTTTTCTTAGGTGCCCAGATGTACATAATGAAAGAAATCTGAACGTATGAAAAAGGGCTGTGAACTGGAGTTTTCCACAAAATCAGGAGGAAAGAACACAAAATTTGGGGTTGAGAGAGGAAATAAGTTGAACCTTTAAAATGATAACTGTAGTAAGTACGGTGGAGGCAAAAGCAATTCTCTGAGCAGTTCAGTGCAGTCAGGATGAACCGGTGCCCACTTGAAATTCTTTCTTCAGGAAGAGATTTAACACTTCTTCACAGTGATAGTATCATTGGTGTCTTTGGTATTGTTGACAGTAGAACAGTAAATATTTATCAGCTTGGTGCTTTTGATACTTCAACAAAAAATGGAGTAACACAGAAAACCCATACTGAAGTTCTGAGAACTAAGGGTTGTTTAACATAATTTTTTTTGTCCTTGTTCAAGAATTCTGGTCATAGTTTATTCTTGCAGCAGAAAGTTTGCAGTTTGGGATGGGTGTTGTTTTCTTAAAGCTCCTCATGTGTGTAGATACAGGAATGGCATAATCATTTATCTGAGACTCAAAAGACAAACAAACCTTTACTTGGTCTTTGAAGAGGTCAAAAGGGAAGGTCATTCTGTCCCCTTCAGCCTCTCTGGTATTTGGATTTGATGTAGGTCCTTCTGTGCAGCTCCCATGTATTTTTACAGAACACAACCAGCTGATGCAGTATCTGTAAACCTTACCAACTCTTGTTTTATTTACTATACTTGATGGTTGTGCTGTAGGATTCAATGCACGGATGTCGTTTATTATTATAACTGCCATGAGCAGGGGAGCTGTTTGTGTGAGTGCAGTGTTGAGTAAATCACAGTACCTTTACACATCTTCAAGTATGCATTTCAAGCGATGTAATCATACCAGAGCCAAAAATAGCAATTTATATGAGACATACTGTTCCTGACTTTTTTAAAAACCCATTTAAATATTTTCCATATCTGTCAATTTTAATTTTTTTTCCAAAAGTTAGAGATATTTTTTCTCATTTAGAGGAAGAACAAAATATTTTATGGAAGCCCTTTTAGGGTACCTGTGTAATAAAGAATCTGTTATGGTGCCTATAAGCCATGAGAAACAATCTCTTGCTTATTTGAATCTTCAGTTTTCAATAAATAGTTTGGCTGAAGTTTTTTTGACCATTCTTTCTGGTGAGGACAGTTTATCCACTTGTAAAAGCATTTCAGAAAATGAATCAAATTGTTGGAAGACTGTGAAAATATGGGGTAGGACGGACACTCATGAGAAAGTGCCTATGGCTAAACTGTATGAATATTTTACTAGAACCCCTATAAAAAACCCTCTTGTTATAAAATATCTGATGTGAATTCTATCCAAAGGATATTCTGATAAAACAAGAACTATCTGTTGAAATTCCAGTAAATAAAATCCCACCCAGAGATGTATAGATTCTGTGAAAGAGGTATCCCTCTGCATTATCTGTGTTATTATTATTTTAAAGTGCACATGCAAAGCCTTTTAAATCCAGATGCTGTATCAGATAAATCAATACATTTTCCTTGCTCAAATACTTTAGAACAAGCTTATGAAAAGCACTTTTTATTTTGGCTAAGCTTATTTGAAGTTCATCTAAATCACACAGAGCCCTATGGATAATTTTCCTATAGTAATCTTCTATTTAAAATATGTGGTTTTCTTTGCAACAGCCCCTGCTAAAGGCAAGTTAGAAAAAGACATCTAGTATACGTATAGTACATGTGTTTATTCTTTAAGATTTTACTTCACATGGACCTCATTGGCCTGGGATCCAGATAAGGAGACTCTCTGTCCCTTCTAAGAGAATTCTGAGTGTGAAAGACTTTTGTAAATAAGCAGTAAAATTGGTTAAACGAGGGTTCAATCTACCAGAAGTGTAATCATTGCAAGATGAGACTTAGAAAATCAGGAGGTAGGAAATAATGTTGGTAGCTGATAATGAAGGAAGTAAATTACTGAGTATTGTCATACTGCCTCATGAAAACTACAGGAAGGATTTACTAATTTGGCCTGTACTTTGAAGCTGAATTGTGTAACTTGCTTTACAAAACATAGAACCTGTCAAAATCCCATCTCTTTAGAGAATATATGATTTTTTTCCTAGCCACCTAGTTCATTCTGAGAAACAAAGCAAAAATGAACTCACTGAAATAGTTGTTTTGTTTTTTTTTTTAGGTCAGACACTTTATATTCTAATGCTATAGCTTTCAGAATTATTGAGGAGGCCAAGTATTTCTTTTCACCTGGAATTTGGTCACATTTGTAGTCGAACAGAGAGTGTGAAATCCATTCTGAAGCTTGTTGCTCTTTCAGGTGTTTGTTCACAGGGAAATGCAGACTCCTTAGATCCAAAATGCTAGCAGCAAAAAAGGAAGTGGTACGCTATGTAAATGTTAGTTATTTTAGCCCGTGTACACAGTTAGAGCTAGAGATTTTTTCACAGTGTCTAGGTAAATCACCAGGACACTGGCTTTTTATATCTGAGGTAGGATCTTTTGGTGTGAGAAGAAAAACATTGCTTTAGATTGCGCCATGTTTAAAAAGAAGAACCTTTTCTACAAAAGGCAGGTTACTAAAGCTGCCATTTACTCTGATACTTCAGATATCAGTTTGGACATCTACGTGCTTTTTGCTGTATGCTTTTCCACTTAGCTAATGATTGTGTACTTTGGCATCTAGTCAGTGAAGTCGCTTTCACTAACCCAAGGTGACTTCTAGAGGCATGAACTCAAAGTATGAAGCTTTAAAAATATAACTGACTTCCAAACACGGCCAAAATTGAAAAAAAATTTGGAAAGTATGTTTGATATAATCAAAAGCATCCTCAAAGTCATTTTTGTATCATGCATACAAGGAGACACCTTACTGAAACCACTGCTTTCTTCTAGTGGGGTCAGTGCCTTGTACTGCTAAGCTGTATAAATGATGGACTATGATATTTTGCCGTTTAAAAGTGTATTTCTTTCCTTTTCCACATACTTTTTTAACTATTGCCTTTTATCATTTGGTATTCTAGCGTCAGTGTTAGGATCATTGGCGCAACCTTCTGGCAAGCTGCTTTTCTCCATACTCTCCCTATTTCTAATATTATCTTTTGAAGGTGGTATTTTTGAATCATAATACTTATCAGCTGCTGTCACCCTCTTGGTACACATGCTCGTGATCTCAGGCCCAAATTTCTCCAGTGCTCTATTTAGTGGTCTTCCCAAATCTTTGCTTCATTTAGCTGAGAATATTTAGTATGTCCACATTTCTTTTTGTATTTCCCTTTTGTAGAGGAAGGTGAGGAGTGCTTTTTCCAGCAGTCACCTGGGATGTCTGAAAAAATTGGTTATAAACACATAATCTTTCTCTCCCTTCAGGTGTCTCCATTTTTTCCTTCTGTCAGTGGTCCCTTCTGACCTGTACTTCTGAGATTCTCAGTTTGATATTTAGTATCTTCACCTATACCATTCCCTTTTCTTTTTCATCTCTTTCACCCTTATCTGCCTGTACAGCATCCTCGCCACAGTTCACTTTAAATTTGCATTTCTAAATATCATACCCCCTAACCTCAGCTATTTGGATCTTTCTTCCTTCCTCTTTTACTGACTACATCTAACGTTTAAACTACGTATCAAAGTCCCTTTTCCTCCTTTCCACAATTTGATGTCTGTTTCTGTTCTCCAAAACCAAATAATCAACTCTTTCTGGAGACAGCCAGTTTTTTACTTTCTATTTTACTTGGCGTATTTTCATGATACCCTTAGGCTAAACATTACGTAATGATTAAAAGTATGTTGCTTTCTCTAAATATACCTCTTTGCCTTTTGTTTTCTCCCATCATTCTGTATTCTTAGTACTTTCAAGTCTTTCCTTTGTTTGAGGCTTACTGTTGCACTCCTGGTCACCAGCATGTATTTGATTTTTTTTTATATTTAACCCTTTTATTAAAAAATAAACCCACAAACCAAACTTTGTTACAATGTTGCATAAAATAAATCTGATTGAAAGCCAGCTCAGACATTAGCTGGTTTCTATCATAGAATCATAGAATCGTCCACGTTGGAAAAGACCTTTAAGATCATCAAGTCCAACCATATCAAGTTTTTTAATTTGAATTTACATTTTTGTTGTTTATTTTCACTCCGATTTTTTCCTATTTCAGTAGCTGCTGGTGAGATTTCGAATATTTATGCCCTGTTCAGATTTGTACCCAGCCTGTATGGCCTGAGATCATGGAAGAAAGCAGGTAGATCATAACAACAGAGTTAAAAGGTGAGGTCCTGGTCCATTGAGATTTCCCTGCAGGAACTCAAGAAGAACTTGTAAGTCAGGTTAAGCAGAACTTTTACTCAAAATCAATATTCAGAGTCCTCTGAAAGTCCACATCCATACACAGATTAGCCACAGAAATTGGTACAAGAGATAACACCACAAGTTATCTAGATGTAGGATGGCAAGAAGTGGCCACCTATAATTCAGTTCCACTTCAAAATTAATTGATGGATATCAAATTTAGTGCTCTGAGAAAAAGTGGCAAAGAACATTACATATACAACATACGGCACAGACAAACTTTACAATTCAAATTCTAGCAGAGACAAACCCTCAATTTCCTGTGAGAGCTGAGGGTGAGCAGACTCAGTGCATTATATAGCAAATATATGCAGAGGAGCAGATGTGGCATAGACTATAGACATGTAACAGACCGAAAAGACAAGTTACAGGCAGACAGAGCTATGGGCTCTCAGCTCAGCTTGTTGAATGACTCTAAAGAACTGTCTATGCCCCATCAGAAGGGCTTTCCCTATGTGTCCCATTACCAACTGCTTTTTCCAAAATGCAAAAGAAATCCTCTTATGAACTGAAATTTAAGTTTTGATAATTTGTTGCCAATTTGGCAATATTGTGCTTCATACCTTTTGTAGCACTTGGCAGCAGAAACCAGAACTAAAAAAGGTAAAGCTGAAATAAATGCATAATGGAGCTTGTAGGTATTTATGCCCCATTCTCACCTGGTATTCACTCAGCCCATGTAGAGTTAGGTGCCCTAAATCATACAGCACCTTCAAAGATGCCACAAAATCTAATTTAAAGCTAGCAACTTGTCCACTACAGCTAACAGGAGAGTATTCGGCAAACTTAATGAAACCACCTTGCAATTTCATCCTAAATATTCACTGTTAAACGCTTTAGGGGGCTTAAAGGACTTTATAATTCCCTAACAATACCTATACTATTCTCCATACCCAGCCATAATAACATGTGCAACTCCAAACCTATATTCCTTTTTAAATGCCTGTATTCTCAGTGTTGATCTGTTGAGGACTACTACTAGGATGGCAGGTAGCATCCTGGACAATGAGATTATGTGAAATTTACATTAATGTAAGCTTCCTAAGGGATTATTTAGAATGGGGACTAGGGAGCTTTATGCATTTAAAATTTCATTCAATTTCTTCATCCTCTCACCTCATCACTCAGAGGGGAGAACCCAGTGGCTCATAGGGGGTAGCATGATCATTTTGAACAGCCTTCTTTGTGGGGAGCTCTGCTATGCTCACCAGCATATTAGTCTGCAAGAATTAGGCGGAGATTTTGCAGCATATGGAAAACAGCCCTTATGCTCCGGCCAGCGGGAGGTGTAACTGCTGCTCTTACTGGGATGACGATTCCTCGGGCAAGGTACGTATTTGTGAGATCACGTCTTCCAAAAACAGAAATGCAGATACTGGTTTGCTTTTCATTATTCATCTCCACTCTCCTTCCTGTCTGCCATGCCAGCTCCTCAGAGGTTACACATGCCCTGTCAGCTGCCTACCTGATCCAGTCAGTCCCCCAGTTTGGAAAACTGGGATAGTTCTGTACCATCCACACGCCTGGTTCATAGGCTTTAAATATAGGCATCTTTTTTGTGCTTTTTTGAGTACCATATATTTGCATTCTTTAAAAGCATTTCCAGCTCTAATGGGAAAAGAATGAGTTGTGGACCTCAAATGAACCCCATGTTTCTCTCTCTCTGTGGTGATAGAATTGAAAGAATTTACACGATGCAGAGATCTGCCCTTACTGACTTCCATGGGGGTTGTAGACTCAGGCTGTGTGCGGACTGACCTTTGCAGACATGGTACAAGACTTAAACCTTCAAAATTTAGTACTTAGAACCAAAATGGATTAACAGAGGAATTATACATTCACTTCCAGGAAGCCTCTATTTCCTGTAGCATCATATCTACAATTCTTTCCATTGTGGGTTTCATTACCAGTCATTAACATTGATTGACCTCTTTTACTCCTGGTGCATTTGCCTGCAACTGGATGAATGCCAGTTCTCACATGAGTTTAATATTGCTTACGTCCTACAGAGGGTACACCCAAGTGTAAAAATGGTGCCTTCTGACAGTAGATCGATCTTCAGAGAGCAGCATATAGGCAATATAGCTGCCTGCCTGACCCAGGAGCTTCTTACTTCACACCACACTTGGTGCACCTACACTTTGGCATGGGAGTGCGACTATGGCATGGATAGGTACACAGAAAAGGAGGCATAGGAATCAAAGGGTGTCATTTTTTATTCTGCTATTAGGATATGCAACTGGGCTGCTAGCCCATACTGAAGTGTATTTTGCAGCTCTCTACAGCAAGCAAACAAAAAATACCTAATAAGGTAGGTGACTTGAACTGCTATCACAGATACTGCTCAAAACATGGTTTCACCTAAAAATCAGCTTCAGCTCATCTAACCCAGCTGTTTTGAAAGGATTTCTCCCCATGCCAGACTCAAGCAGGCTGAAGAAAACATAGACAGTTGCTTGTATTTTGGCAAACTCAACATTTCTACAATTTATACAAATTCATGAGGTTTCGGTAAGTGACATTTTGGCAAGCTCAGCACTTGTACAACTTACAGTCTTAAGGCTTCACTAAGTGACAGCTATATTGCTACTTAAATAGGAAGCCGTTATGTATGTTCAGACAAAATTAAGTGAATAAACACATAAACTTACTTTAACCATGTAATAAAATGGCATCGTTTCTCATGGGGAATGAAGAAAGGCATATCTCAGAGAGAAACCAAACATAAAGTAGCAGAAAAGCCACAAGGCACAATTTCTGATCACTTTTTTTCTCTGAAGTAGCTTCGCAACACTACAGTCAGCTCTACTGAGGTGAAAGTTTAATTTAAACACAGGGTGCTGAGAAGTGGGGCTTCCTGCCACTTCTGGCATATCCCTCTGTGGGTTGTAAATTATGGCATTTTGGATTAATAAAATATCACACAAAAAATATTATCACCTGCATGAAGACCTGTCAGTGGCTGAATACACCACATGTTGGGACAGGGCACCGTTTTCAGAGAGATAAGAATTTTAGGCTAGATGCTACTCACACTGCCTACTGAAAATGAGGGTGCAGGTACATGATTTCTCAGGTTTCAATGTGGTATCTGAATGATTTCCGATACTAGGCAGAAGTTTAAAATTCCTGAAATAGTGTCCATGGTATTGCAAAGACTGTAGAAAACTCATAAGAGTTAGCTATCACTGTGCTTAATACAATCACACTGACAAAGAGACATATCCCATATTAGCATCCGGTGGTGGTCAAACCAGTATTAACAACATAGCACCATAGAAAATACTTTAATTGCATTTTTTTTAATTGTGTTTCAGAAATATGTCTAGGTCCATTTTAAAACAACCATCTATGCTTCATTGCCTCAGCCCTAGTTTCCACTGGCATAGAACAGCAGGCAAAGTGCCTTCAGGAGCATCAACAACTTTCTGTACAGGAGCCTGTAGTTAAAAAAGCACATGCTCGAAATGCAGGCTGAAAGCCATGCAAACAGCCTTAATTTAGCCTCTTGTTTGAATACACATTATGAACACAGTCTCTCTACAGACTATCACACTTTTTTCCTTTAATATTTGTCTGGTTTTCAGCTGGACGCTGTCTCTTCAGTTCTACTGGGAGTATTTACATGCTTAAATATGTGCATGACTTCTGCAGAGCTGGATTAAGACAGGACTGGAGGCAACCTCCAGGATTTTGAAGGGTGGCATACAACCCTGGACTAGAACTGGGCACTTGGGTTAGGTACTTTAAAGCTATTTAAATGACCAAGGAAAATACACTTTTCAAAGTATCTAGGAACGAAACTTGCCCCAGATCAGATATCCATACTAGTAGTTATGTAGTTAGTGCTTATTTGCATCTTAAGGTATCTGAGTAGCTTTAAAAAAGCTCATCTTTAATAATTCTTTAGAGTCTGGACTCTATATTAACTATTTCTGAAGTAAAGTTCAGTAATTACAGTGAAAATATGCAAAGAAAAGAGAACATTTTAATTCAAGAATAGAGAAAGGGACTTATATGCGAGGATCAAATGAGAGCTGCCACAGCCTAAAAAAAGTATCAAGCAACATTTAAGCAGCATTATTTTAAGACATCAAAGTTTATCTTCAGATACTTAAGGTGTGGCTGGAAAAATCCAAGTACTCACATTACAGTTTGGATGTGCTGGTGGGTTTTTTATAGTTGAGTATTACTGAAGGAACGTGTTTTTCAGATTTTATTCTCTTCCTATGAATTGTTCACAGCTGAGAAAATACCTTCAAACAGTCAGCTGAAGCACCCTAGAAATAAAAGGAGGGTTTAAAAAAGCCAGTTTACTTTCCCTCAAGTACCTTGTTTCTCTTTAATTTACTAAATTCACTAATTATTACACCCGAGATAGATTTATGTTTGTTTTTCAGTCCTTTTCTTCATCAATCTCACTTTCTATTATCTATTATCTGTTTAAAAGAAATGTTTCAATTTCTATAGAGCACTGTGGGTTTCTTTCAGGCCAGATCTTAAGCCAACATTGACTTGAAAGCGACAACTAATGAGTAGGCGCCTCCATGTAGGACACACAGTACTGGTGTTTCATGTAAAGATAATTCACCAGCCGACAGCTTTTCCCCTATTTAAGTTGCTGACTGCACATGTATTAACTGAGCTGGCACATGAAAGCCTGTGGCCAGACAAGGCTCTGATCCTTGCGCGGGCACCTGGGCAGTGTTACTTCTCTTGTTCCCAGGAGTATTCACACAAAATTTCCATTCTCTAAAGTGTTTTTCCGAATTGGAGATACTCTTTTTAGCATTACACTTATATTGTCCATCTTGTATCTGCCTGTACGGCGAGGTCTGCTCCCCTCCTGTGCCTGCCCAGCCATTTCCACACAAAAAGGCTTTGTTCCAGATACTGGAGACTGCAGTCAGCTCCTGTTCTGAGCAGGCATTTGAGCATACTCACATCCCACTGCAAGGCATTTCAGGCAATTAATTGCTCCTAGCTTACTACATGACTCTGCTCTTTTCGGGTCTAATTCTGGTCAGACATCTTCCCAAATCTCTGATGTGGAGTGGAAGGTACACTCTCCTGTCAACAGAACTGCAGTGCCCTGATGAACCACTTGTTCATTAAATTAGACTATCTTGGACTATTTACACCAAATATGCATGTACAGTACAAGTTTGGTGTACATTGCAACCCTGCAGAAAACGTACATGCAAATAATTTCCATCCCTAATTCCAGCTTAGAACCTAAGCATTATAATAGGACATAATTATTTTCAAAGAATGAGACAGGTCTTTAGCTAATAATTCCCTGTGCTGCTCTGCAAAGAAGCATGTGCAAAATGTATAATCCATGTACCACATTCCAATAAAACAAACAGAAACTAAGTGTCCAGCTACACTTCAGTGTAAATCTGCCAGCACCCTAGTTACACCCTGTGGCCTTTTTCATTTCAGACAAGTCTCTCTTTGAATCCATTTTTCATTTTGGTAAAGGAGACTTAGATACAAATATCTGGATATTTTCAAGTACAGTTTTATGTTTTCTTTCTGTTCCTATTTAAGTCTCAAAAATACTATAGCCGTGATTTAACAGCCCATGTTGTGTGTAAGGAAGAAAATAAAGTAAAAGACAATAGCAGAAAGCAGGAATTTACAAGTCCAGTTAGGCAAAATGTTACTTAAAACTGACAGGTATGGGGGCATATGCTTTTATTGTAACTCTCATTTTAGTTATGTTACGACACCCAGTTAGGGACAATATCTCATTGTTCTAAGCATTGTTCTAATTCACACTGGTGGCATTGGTTTCAGAAAGGTACAACTTTTTCTTGACTACCTCTGCAGCTGAAATAAAATGTAACTTCTCTTTTCCTATAATCCATAATTGAGAGTTTACTGAAGAGAGAGCTTTACCTTCTGCAACTCACCCGGGAAAAGCTTGCTTTGAAACAAGTGCAACCATGGATGTCGTTTGAGATCCACATGAGGTTTCTACACACGGGTGCTGTGGATTTTAGCCTTGATTTTGGAACTCTCACTTAGCTTGCCAGCCTGCAGAAGCACCATTGCAGCTGGTGCTTGGGTGGGCTTGAGAAGATCCCTGTGGACCCTCCTTTGCTTTGGGGCATTTATTTACTTATTACATTGCAGTGAATTGCAGTTCAGTGCAATTTCCTGTTCTTTCACAGTGACCTGTGAGAAAAGTTTATCTGTCCTTTCCCAACATATGTCAGAGGCAGAAATAAGTCATTAAGGGACTAGCAGAACTCGACTGGCGCTAGCCTCTGCCTCTACTTGAGAGAGCAAGCACATTAGCTGCTGACATCTGTGGCAGACAAACTGCGCTTGCAGGAGTTTGTAATACAAGCCCTATAACTAACCAGCAACTTGCTCCATCACTCTCAAAGGTTTACCTGTTGTTGTTGTTGTTGCAGTTTTCATAGGAAGAAGGAACAAGAAAAGTGTGAGCCAAGAGGCTGCAGTGTTACAAAACATTTCTGTTTTTCTGAAAATGTCACACTGTAATGTCATCCTGTAATCTCAGTGATGCAAACCCTTCTCTGGTTAGGGAAGAACATTAGCAAACAGCCTAGCTAGGTGGTCAGAGATGCCCTTTCATAGAATCATAGAACAGTTAGGGTTGGAAAGGACCTTAAGATCATCAAGTTCCAACCCCCCTGCTATGGGCAGGGACACTTCACTCTAAACCATATCACCCAAAGCCTCATCCAACCTGGTCTTGAACACTGCCAGGGATGGAGCGTTCACAACTTCCCTGGGCAACCCATTCCAGTGCCTCACCACCCTAACAGGAAAGAATTTCCTCCTTATATCCAATCTAAACTTCCCCTGTTTAAGTTTGAACCCGTTACCCCTTGTCCTATCACTACAGTCCCTAATGAAGAGTCCCTCCCCAGCATCCCTATAGGCGCCCTTCAGATACTGGAAGGCTGCTATGAGGTCTCCATGCAGCCTTCTCTTCTCCAGGATGAACAGCCCCAACTTCCTCAGCCTGTCTTCATACAGGAGGTGCTCCAGTCCCCTGATCATCCTCATGGTCCTCCTCTGGACTTGTTCCAACAGTTCCATGTCCTTTTATGTTGAGGACACCAGAACTGCACACAATACTCCAGGTGAGATCTCACAAGAGCAGAGTAGAGGGGCAGGATCACCTCCTTCGACCTGCTGGTCATGCTCCTTTTGATGCAGCCCAGGATACAGTTGGCTTTCTGGTCTGCAAGCGCACACTGCAGCTGGCTCATGTTCATTTTCTCATCAACCAACACTCCCAAGTCCTTCTCCGCAGGGCTGTTCTGAATCTCTTCTCTGCCCAACCTGTAGCTGTGCCTGGGATTGCTCTGACCCAGGTGTAGGACCTTGCACTTGGCATGGTTAAACTTCATGAGGTTGGCATCAGCCCACCTCACAAGCGTGTCAAGGTCCCTCTGGATGGCATTCCTTCCCTCCAGCGTATCAACCGAACCACACAGCTTGGTGTCATCGGCAAACTTGCTGAGGGCACACTCAATCCCACTGTCCATGTCAGCAATGAAGATGTTAAACAAGACTGGTCCCAACAGCAATCCCTAAGGGACACCACTTGTTACTGGTCTCCAGCTGGACATTGAGCCATTGACCACAAAGCTTTGTATGTGGCCATCCAGCCAGTTCTTTATCCACTGAGTGGTCCATCCATCAAATTGATGTCTCTTCAAATTCAAGATTTTGCCAGGCACAGAGGTGAGACTGACTGGTCTGTAATTCCCTGGGTCATCCACTTTCCCCTTCTTGAAAATGGGGGTTATATTTCCCTTTTTCCAGTCGTCGGGAACTTCACCTGACTGCCATGATTTCTCAAATATGATGGACAGTGGCTTAGCAACTTCATTTGCCAGCTCCTTCAGCACCCGTGGATGGATTTCTTCACTGCCCATGGACTTGTGCAAGTTCAGGTTTTTAAGATGGTCTCGAACCAGTTCCTCTCCTACAGTGGGCCCAAGGTCTTCATTCTCACAGTCCTTGCATCTGCCTTCCAAGACTTGGGTGGTTTGGTCAGAGCCTTTGCCAGTGAAGACCGAGGCAAAGAAGTCATTCAGAACCTCAGCCTTCTCCAAATCCAGGGCCTACGTTCTCCCTAGTCTGTTTTTATTTGCTATGTACCTGTAGAATCCCTTCCTGTTATCCTTAATATCCCTAGCCAAGTTTAATTCTAACTGGGCCTTAGCTTTCCTAACCTGGTCCCTAGCTTCCCGGGCAACGTCCCTGTACTCTTCCCATGCTGCCTGTCCTTGCTTCCACTTATTATAAGCCTCTTTTTTCATTTGAATTTTCCTGAGCAGCTCCTTATCCATCCAAGGAGGTCTCCTGGCCCTCCTGCTGCACTTCCTTCTAGTCGGGATGCAACACTCCTGAACTTGGAGCAGGTGATCCTTGAATACCAACCAAAAGCCTTGGGCCCCCCTGCCCTCTAGGGCTGTATCCCATGGAAGCTTACTAAGCAGGTTCCTGAAGAGGCCAGAGTCTGCTCTTTTGAAGTCCCAGGGCAGTGAGCTTGCTGCACGCTCTTCTCACTGTCCTGAGGATCTCAAATTTGAGCATCTCATGATTGCTGCATCCAAGGCTGCCCTGGAGCGTCACATTTCCAACGAGCCCTTCCCTGTTGGTGAGCACAAGGTCAAGCATGGCACCTCTCCTTGTCGGTTCCTCTGTTACTTGCAGAAGGAAGTTGTCTTCTACACAATTGAGGAACCTCCAGGATTGCTTGTGCTAGGCCGTACCGTCCTTCCAACAGATGTCAGGGTGGTTGAAGTCACCCATGAGAACAAGGGCCTGTGAGCGTGAGGCTGTTCCTATCTGTCTATGGAGTGCTTCATCTGCAGGTTCTCCTTGATCAGGCGGTCTGTAACAGATCCCCTCAGTAGTGTCTCCCATAGCTATATTCCCTTTAACCCTGACCCACAAACTCTCTGTGGACTCCTCACCTGTCCCCAGACAGAGTTCCATACTCTCCAGCCTATCCCTAACATAAAGGGCAACTCCCCCTCCCTGCCTGCCAGGCCTGTCTTTTCTAAAGAGCCTGTAACCTTCCGTTCCAACACTCCAGTCATAGGAGCCATCCCACCATGTTTCTGTGATACCTATTATATCATACCCCTGTAGACGTGCACACATCTCTAATTCCTCTTGTTTGTTCCCCATGCTGCGGGCATTTGTAGAGGCATCTGAGCCGAGCTCCAACTGAAGCTGGCTCATTGGCTGGAGCGGCTGGAATATCTCTGCATTGCTCCAAGCATTTATTATAGGTGCTGGCAACTGACTGGGTGTGTTGGGGTGGAATGATGCCCCCCTCCCCCAACACGTCTAGTTTAAAGCCTCCTTGACCAGTCTGGCAAGCCTCATACCAAAACTGCTCTTTCCCTTCTTTATCATCAGACCAGCTCCACCAGCCCCCACTAGACCTGGCCTACAAGCTTGGGTCCTGTGTTCAAGACACCCTAACCCCTGACTATGACACCACCCTTTTAACCAGTTATTAACCTGGCTAATCCTCCTAGCTTTTTTTAGGTCCTCCCCTGTATCCTGGAGAATGCCCTTTATAACATAAAAATCGATGAAACGGTACTGAAAGCACACACAGCTGGGTAACATATGCTGAAAGTACCCAGGAAACTTAGTTGTCTTACCTGTGAGAAGACATTTCCGTTTGCTAAGCTACATTGTGGATCCTAGTAAATATACTAAGGCCTATGAAATTATCAGATACAATCTACCCCTCTTACAAAATCATCTGTGGCTGAAGCCACCTGGTTTTCCAAAGGCACAAGTTTGTTTGCAGCAAGGTTGTCACTGTAGCATTTGGGTTCCGTATTTCTACTGTGAAGAGAAGCAAAGGTAGTAACCTTGCTTCCCAGGCAGGCAAAAGGGAGCCAGCTGGGAGTGCTTCAGGGCAGCACAGCCATGATGGTGGTGTAGATGGATGGAGGTGACAGCCCTCTGTGACACTGTGGCTTGTACGCATCCAAAATATCTCGTTCCTCTTTCTCTACATTTTTAAAAATTAAAATAGTAAAAAGCCTGCCAGGCTGCCTTTGTATCACTTGGAAGTCTTAATGAAAATGTAATGTAGCACAAAGTCACACTTCCTGAACTTTAATTTGCCTAAGAAGTCATTGATTTGGTACACACCAGGGGGTGGCTATCTTGATTTCAGGGGTCAGCAATGAGTTGTTACCCAAACGTGTGTCAAAAATAGTTGATGGAAATCCAGGTGGGAAATGCTACAGCCTATGTAGACAAGACTGGAAAGAATCAGGTTTTGGAAAGGGGAAAGGACCTGGTTTTGGTTTGTATCTTTGCTAAATTTTTATATCATATTTTCAATGTACAAGACTATATCCTTTCCTCTTTTCCCTTCCAGTCTTTCTGTCTAGGTTTATGTTCTAGTAAGGGATGAGTGAGCTGGGCCAAGTCTACAGAATGGGACAAAATAGCCAAATATGCAGGGCAGGATAAATGGGAGAGAATGTTTGGAGCCCATGTGGTATTTAGAAAGACTGAGAGTGGCAAACTTGGGAAAGAGATGGGTAAAAAACAAAAAAGAAGAATAGCACATTCTTTACACCATTGACTAAAGTCAAAGAAAAGCTGGGGCTGGACAACAATAACAGCCTTCGGACCTGAGTCACTTGAAAGCACATTCTGCCCTTGCTGGCTCCCTGGCTGGTTACAGTTTTCCTATCACCTGCCTAGACAAAGTCATTGTGCCTCTGAGCACATACGAGATGCCTGGGTAGCCTCTATTTCTGAACTTTCATAACTGAAAGCATCTATATCAATTAGACACTATTACTAATACTTGAAACTTCTGTCATTTTTAAATGGGAAAACCTTAAAAGCATTTGTGAGTCTCACCTCTGACACTTCTATTAAGTGTTATCATGTACGGTTATGACATCATATTAAAGAATATCTCCAGGAAACATTTAATTAGTGAGTCAGCAGTTTCATAACTCAGAGCTCCTCTCTGTCTTCTTGTAGCTGCAATGTTGTAACTTTGCTTTTGCTTTGCTTTTTCCCCCACAGAAAATGCATAAACATACGTTGCCAATACTGAGCAACCAGTTTGGATTTTTAGTTAGCTAAATTATTCAACTGTTTTAAATCTATTATATGGTATATAATCTAATATGTATATATTACATACATATAATATGTAATATATATCTATTATATATAATAAGCTGGTCATTAAATGAATCACTGATGTATTTCTCAGCTACTCAAGCTAAGAAACTATAACTGATGATCTATAAAAGCATCAGTGTGTTAAGAAAAATCAGCTGGAGAAGAGCAGCAATTGGTCACTTCAGCAGCACCCACCAATCTGAACAGAAAGATTCACCAATGCCAGCTTCAACTAAATTACCAGAAATCAGATTTTGACACAGACTGATGTCTAGGGGAAGTACCATGAAACTGCTACATAGGCAGCATACATCTCTTGTTCCTTAAGTTATTACTGGAATATTTTATAGAAGTATTTAAAATGGATCAAATTTGGGATGCTCCAGAGCAAAATCTGGGGTGCAGAATCTCCTGGACTCAGAGGGATGAATTTTAGACCTAGCACTTATTTGTACAATGGAAAAAAGCAAACCTGTGGTCCAACCACTCTGCCTGCTTGGGAAAAACTATAGTTTAGATCAAGGTCCAAATACTGAGCCCTGGCTAGGCCCACCCCCTATAGCAAGAAGGTTGAAAATGTTAGGTTTAATGTTGAGCTCCTCCATTGCTCTTATCAGTGACAGGCAATGTGTGGAAGCCCCTGGTCAACCCTCGTGTGTTTCTGGGTGGGAAGTGGTAGGACAGTGGGGATACAGGATGGAGCAGCATGGGGTGGGGCACAGCCCTACGATCCACACACCCAGCCAGAACTGCTGGGGGGAAGTGAAATGAAGAGAAGGCAAAAAGGGAGGTGGGAGTTACCTCATGACCTCCATCAACCATAGCACTGTGGACCCTCACCTCAGCCACTGCCCCTTGGTTGGGCTTGAGACCCTCTGTCGCCTGTCATCTACACCCAGCATCAGACTGGTGTCTAAGTGCTCTCCAGGTAAGCCACCTGCTCTTAACAAATTTTGTGGTTTTCTGCTTTTTCCTCTTTCCTGGCTCAAACCAGCCCAAAATACTCAGCTGCAGGCTGCTGAGCAAACCAGACATTTTTCACATTTGCTGGAGACAGCCCCACTCAGGGGTTGCCTGTTGGAGTCATAAATGCACAGTGTCCCACCACACTGGGGGAGAATTAAAGCCTGAGAACCAAGGCACTGTTGAAATATGCTTGCTCAACCACCCTGAAAAGCAATCTAAAACCTTCCTGTTAACACACATAAATGAAATTTCTGTCTGACTTGTATTTGCGTGATGTTTGTCCCCATGACACTGTATGAAGATAGATGGTAGTAAAGTCAGGAGTCAAAGAAGTAGAGGACAGTAGGAGTGTGCTCACCTACAGCATGAAGGTGCTTCGGTGAGGGAGTGCTTGAAGAGCAACTTCTTTTTTTGACTCCTCCTTTCTGTTGCAATCATTGCTTGCTTGACAGGCCCAGACGGAATTACATCACTTCCTAAAACCCATCAAAGAGAGTCCATCTCCTCAAGAAATGCAGCTCAGATGCACCCCGGCAGGAAACAGGAAATGTAAATGTTTGGGTGAAGCAGGGAGCCAGCCAAAGAGCCCCTCAGGTGGGAGCACCGCCAAGGTAACATGCAAAAGCAAAACCTCATCGTGCTGCTTTCTGCCCTGTCACTGGCTGGAGGATCTGCTGGGAATGGTGAGTAAGGAAGCACCTTTTTCCTCTGAGGTGGGACCGTGTTCCGTGCCTGCAGTGCTGGGACCAAGTTGGAGGGCAACACCCTCCAAACTGAGCATGAGGGAGATCTGTGGGGACTTGCTCTCTGCCGCTTTTTGCTGTATTTGCCTGCTCTGTTTTCAGTTCCCTGACTCTTTCCAAGCTTTGACTTTTTCCCCTTAGATCTAACCCCGAACAGCAGCGACCAAATCCTACAATTCCCACGTTTCCTAAACTGCAGGTGTGTAGGGAACCTGAATTTCCATGCTGGCCTACCATGCATTTTGGTTCTAATTTTAATTATTTGTTGTACTTGTTTAACCTCACACCCATACTATCAGCATTTAATAGCAAAGTGAAGGACAGAGTATGGATTCCGTTCAAAAACTGTCTGCCGCTTTCCATGCTCTCAGTGCACTGAAACCGGTTTAACGAAAGATCAGCTGGTTCTGGAGATAAATACTTTGAATTCTCGGGCCCAGAACAAAGTGGTCAGCACCGTGGGTTTAGGTACTGACCTTCTGAAGGGAAGAACCATGAATGGGAAAGCCACTTGCAATAAAATGCTGAAGCACTGGGGTGTCGTTGCAGAGGCTCTCAGCTGTTTGCAGGGAGTAGTTTGTTCCACTGGCACTTTGGCAGCCAGTGACTGAACAAGACAGGCAGCTCTTTCAGAAAAACCTTGCCAGGTGGTGTTTATATGCCTTTCGGTGTCAAGCAAATCACTGCCTTAGTGCCTCGGCATGGACTACAAGTGTTTGCTGCCTCTATGCTGCTGCAGCGAGCAGGAGCTCTGCAGAAAGCAGGGAGAGGAGGACCATTCTCAGCTATCACTGGACTTCCTCTGTTAAGGGTTTAAAATGCATTGGTGAAATAGGTGGTTTGGTATGGGTAGTTTTGCCCTGAAAACCAGTAAGATAAGTAGGGTGTAAAACTGTGCTGCTGGCTCCAGGTGTGATGCTGAGCTGCTTGCAGTCAGCTTTAGGATTCTTGCTTAGCTATAAGGGTGAGCTCAATGAGGTATGAAATGGCTTGGTCTTGTCTGCATGACTACAGCCCTGCTGCATTACAGACATGTTAGGAAAATACTCTGCAAGCATTGAATGTAGCTCAGAATCAAAGTGGTATGAGGAAAAAATCCTGCCATGGACAGAGCAAACTGGAGGTCCCAGAGAAAGAGAGGGACATGATGCAAGCAATGCAGAGTGATCAGGTTCTGGCCTCCTTTGCTCATTTGCAGTGTACTCATCACTAGTACTTCATCCCCATCTCCACTGGGAAGAGGAACACCTTAGTCCCTGACTCCCCCAGCCCACAACTGGACCCCCCTTGCCCTTCTTTACAATGGGCATTAAAGGCTGCATAAAACACTGGGCAGATACCACATACCAGGTGCCCCAACCCACTGCCTTTAGAGGCTTCCTACTGGTAGGTCCACCCATAAATTCTAGCTGATTTTGAAATGGTTCCTCCATGAAAGTGAGTCAGTCCTGACAGAGCTCTCCCTGAGCCTTGTCAGCCTAGGCTCTCCTGAGTCAGTCCCCAGCTGCTGGGGAAAGGGAGGAGAGCACCCAGCAGGAGAAGAGCAGTATCACTTCCCCCCATACAAAGGCAGCTTTTGGTTGTGCAACCAGCTCCCAAAAGTACCTGGGGCTTATGCTGACTGCAAGAGTGGGAGAGGTGAAATTGTGAACTTGGGCTTTGAGGGGGGAAAATTGAACTGGAGGGGGAAAGAGTTTATGTAGAGGTTTATGTATGCCACAGGCACTGGTGGGTTGGGAGCCCCCCTGCTGATGGCAGCCTCCCAGAGGGATCCTTTGCTCTCACCCCTCCTCATTTACAAATCAACAGGGAAGGACCTTTAAAAGAGCTTTATTCCTTCTTCTTCCAGTCCCAGGCACAGCCCTCAACTTTAAAGCAGTCTGCTGTCTAGAAGCCACTTACCCTTACTGCCTATTTTGTACGATTAAATCTTGCAGCATAGACAGATTGAAGCCTTTATAAGTCCTGTTCCTATACCATGCTGGAGCCTTGTAAAACGCTAGCCTTGCCATTTGGATTATGATTAACATATGGGTTTTCTCCCGGCTACACTATAATTACTCTAAGCCAGCAGCTCTTAGAGCATGCCTGAGGTCTCAGCTCCAGGTGATGGTGTTCACTGCTTAGCGTCACAGCAGCCCTGAAAGCCTACCTAAGTATGTTCTGACCCTAGGAACAAGTATTCAGGCCCTTACTATAGTTTACAGGAAAAGGATGTGACCCTACAGCCATTTCCCAGGTTATGCCATGTACCACAGTGTTTGGTGAAGCATGCAGAAAATTGCGGCATAAGTGGTCTGACATGAGGAGCAAAAAAACATGTGCAGGAGAGGAGCAGCAAAACATGTGAGATTGTTAAGTGGGAGAGCTGGGATGGTTGCAGGTAGTGCTTTATTTTGGCTGTGCCTCTGAGCTGTCATTTAGAGCTGTTGTTCAAAGAAACATTGCTATCAAAGATCCAGACTTTCAGCAGCTTTTACCATAAGGACAGGTAGCCATTCTGTCTTCAGTAGAAAAGTGCCTTTTAGGTTAAGTTCCTTATGAAGCCAAGGTCTCTTAGGGAGTGATATTTTTGACCTGTTACCCCTAGAGTAAATAACTTGCGAATGGGTTTGAACCCATCAGAATCACCTTGCTTCTAACAAAGCAACAACATGAGAAATAAGGATTTGCTACATCTCTTTCCAAAGTGCAGCCCCCTAAAAGCAGATTAAAACCCCTTTCTACTGAACACATCAATTCCTTGTATATATTTACTCCTGTTTCTCCCTTTTATCTACACACACAAGCTTCCACTGTGTTTTATTCAAGTGCTTCAGGGATACTTCAGAAAATCTCTCCCTTACATCAGCAAGATTGTATACTAAATTTCAGTCAGTGACACCAGTCTATTTTCCTTCAAGAGATTTTGTGATAGCTGGAGAGCCTCTGGAGCTTTTGAATCTTTAATTTCAGGGTCCTCCTGAGAGTAAGGAGCACTGAAAGATCTGCATCACTGTGAAGTCACACGGATATCACTGATGCAGAGCTAGAAGGCCACAGGATTAAGTAGATGCGACCATAAATTTGTATGGAAAACCTTTAATACTGGGAGTGAGAAATGAGACTACAGGTTCACAGTTTGACTCTAAACACATAACTGAATTTGCAACACTGGCATTTAAGACAGCACTTCAGCTGGATGGCAGTATAGTGAGGAGAAAGGAGTTTCCATCATTTATAAGTGAGCTTAAACAGTTGTTTCCTCTTTCAGCTCATACCTAGATAACACTTTCTAAGCACCCCATTTTAATAGGATCTTGTCTACAGATTAGCCATCCTGAAATATTTGTGCTCCTCATCAGAAGGGCGTACGCACCTGACAGCTAGCCTGCAGGCTTTTAAGGATTCCTCTTCTAGCCAGACTGACATGCAGGACCTGCAGCAACAAGCAGCTGGGCAAGCCCTGGCTACGGCAAGAACAGCCTTTCTTACAGCACGAAATGTAAGGAGAGGAACAGAGCAGGGATGAGTCAAGCAATAAGGAAAGAGGATCATACAGACCACGTGGAGTGGTATGATTGATACCACCAGAGGAATGTGTGTATGGAACAGAGTGATACAGGACGCGGTAACTTTACATACACAGCTTTATAGCCTTTTCTGTTTTGTCACCCTCTTGTGAGCCTTCCTTTCACTGCACTTTTATAGCTTATAGGGGAAACAAAAAATCTTTCAGACTGATAAGCTTGACTATACCATTGACTTAGCTCTTGCTTTTTCTCTATACCATCCTTTCTTTTTTCTATAAGCTGGTACTATAGTGTGATTTAAAAGATTCCCTATAGAGTCTCTTTCCTCGAGTCTGATGAGGAGGCAGCAGGGAGACTGATGATTTTACACAGAACCAAATGTGCTGACTGCTGGCTATTTTGTCTTGCCTCGCATCCAGCTGAAATCAGAAACCTGTTTGCCCGCTTACTTCAGCAGGTAGCACGTATCGCCACCTCTGAGTGCTACAGCACAAACCTCAGAGGAAGAAATGCTGCAACAGCAGAAATACTGTTTGTTTGTTTGTTTGAGATGCAATTGTCTGGACTGCAATCTGTAAAGCTGGGCAGACTCAACTCCCTCTGTTTCCTTTGAAAGGCAGGCTTGGGAGTAACAGGCAGAAGAGCTAGAGGGAGGTGTGTTGAGGCAGCAGGTGAAAAGCAGGAAATGCGAGCAATATCCTTGCAAAAACATTGTGCAATTGGCTGCCCTTCTGCTGAAGGACTTATTTAATTCACTTGCAGAAAAGATCTCTGTAAGAGGAAATGGTGTTCACAGAAGAGGTGCTGTTTTGTTCCTGAAATTACGCAAAGTGAACAAAAATACATGGCAGCAAGGTCACTCCCTGTGATTTGCCATTTTCTTTGCCTAGAGACTAGAAAAGATAATTCTATTTCACACAAAGACAAATTATTTGAAATCTGTTTCACAGCCCAAACCCAGGCAAATAAAAAGTGCCAGAGACACTGGAAAAGCCTCTCTTGGAAATCAAATGCAGCACAGACTGCAGCCGAAAGTTCAGCACTGCAGTTAATGAGGTGTGACTGGTTGCTTTTGCTTTCAAGTCACACCACACTTTAGACATTTGAAAAATCCATTTTAGCTCTAAGAGTAAATGAAAAATTAAGGTATTTTCCCCACAAACTTTCCCATTTGTATTATTTTAAGCAATGGATTTGTCAGTGTATCAAATGCAGCAGATGATAGGTTTCAAGGGCAACAGCTAAAGAAGGAAAATGAAGCAAGGTCATTGATGCAGTTTGGTAGGGCTGCGGTGGTCCATCATGCCATGGTTTGTGGTGTGGACATCTCTAGTAATATCTCCCTGGTCCATGCAACAGCAATAGAAACAGAGCATCTGCAGGCACTGGGGACTATAAACTACCTTGGGAAAGAAAAGTCAAGTGACCAAACTAATAATGGAGAGGAGTGCTCCCTCCCATCCTCTGGAATAGGAGTAAGGACTGCCATCAAATCATGTGAAGAGGTGGAGAAGCACACACGTAAAGGGGTCATTACCTGCAAGGAGGCAGAAATTATGGTTTGCTCTTGACTGAAATACTAAATACAGAAGAAAATGACAGAGAGACTACTGATATGAAGTGCTTTGCCACTGAACACCTGACATTTTCATTGCTGTATTATGGTGAAAGAGTCTTGTGACAGTTGCATAATACCTAATGTTTGAACTATATTCCAACATTAGGTATTATTTATTAAGTATTAAAATCCTTTCCTAGCTTTTAGGAAAGGATGAAACAATCATGTGCCTGAGTGATAAGCATGACTTAAAAATCTAGATAAATTATTGCTATCATACTCAAATAATTTTATTCATTTGAAATTGGGTTTCCTGGAATATGATCTCATGAGATACTCATCTCCTCTTTGAGACAAATCTGTCAGGAGAGGAGATGCTGCAGAGTGGATTAAGCAAGAGCTAGCACTCTAATCCCAGTTTTCTCTTTCAGTTGGCATCCCTGAGAAGGACAGCATCCATGTCCTTCTGATTTCTCATTTGTAAAATGGAGATAACTGCTCATCTCTCAGGGCCATTATGAAGATTAATGTGTTTACAAAAGCATTTAAAATTCTAAGTACTGTTGGTTCCAGTCCTGTGAGATTGAAAATGCCAGCACTGAAATGCTGAAAACCTTAAACTCTTGCTAACTCTAGTGGAAACTATGGCTGCCCAGCATTTTATGAGAACAGGGAGAAACAGGTCATTGCAAAAGTCATGCAAAAGTCCTGCTTTATTGCATAAAATGAGAGACGCAACACACCAGCATCGTATCCGAAAGGGCAGATAACAAAAAAATCCTCATTTAATTTCATGCTAAGAAAATTACTGAAGGCTTTGCATTTAGAAACATGCTTGTGTAATTTACCTAAAGACTGATTCCTGCACTTCTGGCTACAACAGGATTTTTAGCATCAGTATAGATTGCAGTATCAGCCCAGAATCTGCTGTACTTGTTTTGAACTTTAAATTCCATGACAGTCAGCAGAGTTTTAATTAGCCTCAAAAAAAGGCTTGTTTCACTATTACTAATATAGCAAATTTTAGCCATTTTTCTTGCAAAATGCATGGTAAACAAGACCAAAACCCAAATCAAGGTTCAAAACCCCCAGTCTTAGCATCTGTGAAGCGTAACCAGCACTGAGTCTTTACCCTCCGCTCCTTCAGCCAGCCCATAGGATTGGACAGAGGAACAGTTAATTGCACCTGTATCCAGTAAAGTCCCCTTGTTACTACCACCTCTTCACATCCATGCAGAAATGAAAGTCAACAGCTTCTGCAGGCTTCAGACTTCTTTTCACCAGTTCTGTTTTTCACAGTGAAACAATTTAAATTTGAGAAAGAATCAGGGACATGAGTGAGCTGGAGGAATTGGTGAACCAGAGATAATGTTCTCCCTGAAGAGAGTACTAACTCCTTGGGTAAGGGGAAGGATGAAAGTGGTTGTGGCTGTACATGCCACAGCTGACGAGCAAAGCAGGATAGTGTAGTTTACTGAGAAGTAGAAGACCTATGTGAGAGCAAAACCAGATGCCAACCTGCAGGGAAAAAAAGTCTATTTGTGCAAGACAGCTGCGTGCAGACAGACCACACACTCCGACATGTCCCAGTAAAACGTGAAGAACGTGGTCAGGACTGTAAGATTTTGTGATGAACTTACAATTTAATTTTACATCTGATGCCCCAGACTCCAAATATGATGTCTGTGGAGCATCTGCTGATTTCTTTTTAAGAAAACAAATATTTACTTTTCATCAAATGAAAAGTAAACATTAAAGCTATATTCTTTGACTCACTGATAATGCTAATAAAATTAACAAAATACTAAGTTGTCCTCATATATTTGGCAGGCTTTGAAAACGATGGTTCAGGAGATGGATCACCAATATTACCCACTGTTACAGTAACGCCTCCTGCTACACGTTCTTCAACTGCAGATGACCATGAGCCAGTACTTGGCACTGCAGGCGCTACTGAAAGCGGCCCTGAAGGAAGAAGTACTCCAAGTACTGAACTGGATACCGTAAACGATCAAGACAGCCTAGCAGCAGCAGAACAGTCTATCTTGATATACGTTGTCCCTGTCGTGCTGCTGGTCCTGTTGATTTTGCTCATCATATCTTTTGTAATACATCATAAAAGGAAAAAGTCTAAGCAAGGTAAATTTGTCTTCTCATGCATCAGAACGATATTTTTAGGACACACTTAACCTTAACAAAATGTTATTTGGAGGCCTGGAATGCCACATTTAGGATGCACTTCTCTGGTTGTGGCTGCACGTTTGACAGTTAGGAAAGGGATCCACCAATAGACAGCAGCACCTGGGCACACATCCTTCCTTGGGTAGGAGCTAGTTCTGCTCCTGCTCACACTGCACACTCATGGGAGCCATAGCACTGAGCTCCAGCTCCTGGCAGGGCCAGGAATGGTGTATGAATGCAACCATGTGGCTACAAAAGATTATTCTGTCTTTATACTTGATAACTTCATGCAAGTTGAATTTAATGCTTCTATTGCCTATATTGCCCACAAGGTAAAGCTGCATCAGTAAAATAAGAACAAGCAATACCATTTTAAAGAACACATTTAAGGGCTTCTGTGGGGTGGTGGCAACTATGAAGATACCACAAAATGAGTTAGGAATCCCATGGTCAGAGTGCCTGGGTGCTATGATAGGGTGAGCAGTCCTTCCAGAAGGTACCTCTATCTGTTAGTAAAGAAATTGATAGCATGGAGTGTCAAGCCACAGAAAACAAACTGAGGATTAAAACCATACAGTTGGTAAGTGAAATGGTCATATCAGTGTCTCTACAGAACAAGAGTGCAGCTATAAGCTCCTCAGCCTGCAGTGACGTGTCTTCAACATGTGTTTAAGGTCCATTTTTCAGGGCATATTTAGGCTGCACATGCCTTATCGCTGGGTTACCCTCTGTTGCTGAACCCAGGACACCCTCATAGCAAACTCTGAATTCACAGCCAGGTACCTAGTTGCCTGCCTGTTTCTGGATGACCTGAAATGCAGGTACAACCTTCAGGTCCTTAGACCTGTTGCCCTGTACCTACTTGCTCAGAGCTGGGATTTTGAGCATCCTCAAAGCAGGGGCAGAGAGCTCTGTGGCCCTGACATGGCTCTGCAGTCTGTGAACGTGCTGGAACAAGCGGGAGGCAGCAGCACCCCAGCAACAATGAATTAAAAATAAGCCGATTTAACAGAGTATACAATGTGAAACCTATATGGAGTTCTTAATACTTGAGAGCACTTAATTCCTGCAGGGGAAATTATTTGTCTGAATAATTGCTGTAACACTCTTCCCACTCCACTCCCCATCTTTACTTTGTCATAGGGTTTTAACAAACTCGGGATCCCTTATGACATCTGGCTAGTTCAGCTTCATTTGCCTAACTGAGCTTTAATCTGCCATGCAAGTCCATCCCCCATCTTCTCTCCATGAGCAGCTCCCAGAGTCTCCAGGCAGAGACAGATTGCCTGCATGTCGTCTGCAGCAAAACGTCCCAGCACTTGAAGTAAATAATTTTGCAGCAGCGGTTTCCTTCCAGGATACCATTTCTCTCATAACATCTGTTTTGCTCAGGGAAGTGAGCATCTGCCCACTGCAGTGCTAACAGTTGGTTTCCTCCCAGCATGACTGAGCTAAATAAACTGAGCACTGCTTTTACTATGTTCAAGATTAAAAATAATGGGTTCCTCTGATAATTACAAACAGGATGAGATGTTTTTTCTTTCATCTATAACTATTATGCCTTCTGAAAATGCAACCTGTTTTACATGACACTATTCAAGGCTTGCTTGCAGTCTGGACAATTTACATACAAAAAGCAGAACTATGAACACCAAGTTTTTTCTTTTCCAGATGAGCTGGGAAGTGAAAATGTGAAAAGGTAAAGTTTATGACCATCATTTTTATTTTTACTATAACAGTGTATTATGATTTTCAGCTCCTTCACTGTCTGTTTTAATTTAACCGTACACTAAACCCCATTACCTTTTGCCATCAATTACTCCAGTTAACTATCTCTAGAGGTGGCTAAAGTGTGACTTCATTATCTAGCTGAAAATGTGTGACTAGAGCAGGAGAACAAGAGTTATAATGGCCAAGGTGAGCACTGCCCGCAGTTACCCACTGCCTGCCCTGGGCACTCCCAGCTCCACCAGCCACAAGACACCACCAGACATACAAGCTGCCCCACGAGCAAAGGGGATCAGTTCCCAGACTCAGCACAGGCTTTTACTATTCAGAATAAGCTGTGTGTCTTGCTCCCCTGTTTTTCAAGTTTGTCTTCTCACTCTGAGTCGAGGTAGAAAGGCTCACCCAGCTCCCATGGAAGCAATGCCTTCACTGGTGGGAAAACAAGCCAAAAGCTGCATGGTTCTTAGAATGATAATTTTTACTGGTACCTTCTGTTTAGCAAGATGGAGCTCACTGATGCTGGATGTTATTAAATTGGCTTGGCAGGGTAGGGCTGGGGTGCTAAAAATATTTTTAATACCATGTGACTCCAGGAATGATCAGCAAAGAGAAGCTAAACAGAAGCATTTAAATAAATGCAGAGTTACTCTAGACATGACCTTTCCTTATGAAGTTGCTGCCAACAGTCACAGCTAGGACATAACTCCAAACAACAGGACTTTTGCCACATGTTCCAGCAGATCAAACTGTTTCAGTTATCTGTTTACAGAAGTAGCTGCAGTGGTCCTGGGCTCTGCCGTACCCTAGGCTGCACCTTCTGAGTCCCTCTGTATGCAATGTCCCACCCAGCCCTGCCTCTGCCCAGGCCTGGCATCTCACCACTGCTCTTTTGCATCTATGTGCAGCCATTTCATTCACACCCATTGGGCTGACATCTCAGATTACTAGGCTAGGATAGCTTTCCAGAGTTTATTTGTGTGTCTGGAATTATGAAAGGCTCATACAAAATTAACTAAGTTGTAAATTGTTGGAATTAAGCTTTTTGTGTAATGCCTTTTTCCCCCCTCTCCCTGCTTTCAAGTCCTATTTTTGAAGAAGACACACCCTCTGTTATGGAGATAGAAATGGAAGAGCTTGACAAATGGATGAACAGCATGAACAAAAACGGTACATGGTAACCCCTCTACTCCATTCCCCTTCTCATTCTAGCCGACGTAGATCCCATGTGTGCAAAATACCTTACATTGATTTTCTATGTGTGTCACTGCTTTTCCTATGACATTTTTAGTTGTGTTCTTGGCTCCCTACTACTAAAATAGCAGTACAAATGTCAGGGGTAGAATTCTTGAGAGTAGTATTTTAGTTTGTGTGGGAGCTTATTTTTAACATATGATAGAATATCATAAATGTTTTGAGTTTCCAGTAGACACTTCTATTAAACATCTATAGCTGTGAACAGTATTTATACTTTTAAACACATTTTAAGTACTAGTTTCTTTGAAGCATCTAGTCCTTTCAGTCTTCAGAGTTCCTACACTTTCGTGCTCCACGTTGTGCTATTGTAGATGGATTTACTCATCGTTCAGACCACCATTTATTTAAAATTGCTGCCTGGATCCTATGAACGCATGCCTCCCCTCTTTGAGACCCTTCCCTTGCTTTCCATATCTACAGCATGAAGCACAAGCTGCTCTTTACTGCCAGCACCATTCATCATCTGCATCCTCCCTGGCAAATCTATCAGCCCTTAGCACCTGAGGTAACTAGCACCAGCAGCATCTTCAGCTCCTTCTTAACTTGAAGTACCTTTTCTTCCCTCCCCTCCCCCCATTTTCCTCCCAACTGAAGTCTCCTGGTCAAAATCTCCAAGGGCCCTGCATCCTCCTTCAAGATTCTCCTCAGAAATCTCAGGTCTTTGGTGTGAATTAAGAAGCCTCATTTTGAACTGCTAACAGCTTTTTACTGCCTAGGAAATGCTGAAATGCTGCTTTACTTATTTATTTATTTATCATTCTTGGTTTCTTGCCTTATATCCAAACGGCTCATTGGCCTGACCTCCTACGGGATGCTTTGTTTCTCAGGACATAAAACTCTTTGGAGCATTTCTTTGCATCAGCAGAGTGCTCTATGTGATAGGGTTTTAACCTTCGCGGTCCGTAAACTCTAGCAGAAAACATGTGCTAAGTGGCAGTAGTGAACTAGAGGCATTAAGTATAGTACATACAGAACCCATGCTGTAAATTAATTCTTTTTAAAGTTCTGTGGACAGAAGGGAGAAAACAGTTTACATATGTGAGGGGTTTTTTGCTAGTGTTCCCTAAACCCCATCCCCAAATTCCCAGCTCGACTATAAAGCATAGGTGCAACTATAAGCAGTAGGTGGTTAACAAATAGTCCTCCCCATGGCTGTTTATAGGAAACAGTGCTCAGAAGTAGTGAATTTGTATAGGTGTGCATAAACAACTGAAATATATGTAATAAAAAAAACTATTGCAGCACCTATCAAAGGGGAAGGAAGATTTAAACTTTATAATTTATGCTATAGGAACCATACTATTTTGCAGATTAAAAGGTGCAGAAAAGCATTTACAATTTTACATTCATGCTAGAGCTGACACAAATTTGAAATGTATGTGGGAGAACCACAAGGAATAACCATAGTCTTGTTTCTTACCCTCTTACAGCTGACTGTGAATGCTTGCCTACTGTAAGAGAAGAAGAAAAAGAATCCATTGCCAACCCAAGGTACTTTTACTTCGTTATATAATTTGAAGAAATACAGTCAAAGTCATTTCAAAATAATATCTTTTTTAATACATAATTATATACAGATAAATTCTTTGGTCTCTTTAAGTTTTTATAGAGAGACTTTGATTTCAGTTTATAAGGTTTGCCACTCTTATTTCTAAACCAGTCTCTGCCTGTAAATTGCACGGCTAAATAATCTTGCAGTTGTAAACCTGTGCGAGACAGACAACCAGATGGCACAGATGGAGTTTCACTTGCTGATCAGACTTTAGTCACAGCTTCTCAAGGTGTTAATACAAGCATTCAGAATAGCTTCCTTGACATTCCTCATTGGCACGGACACCCAGCTCCCTCTGCTACCGAGCACCTGTAGGTCCCCAAGAAACACTGCCAGATGTTCTGGCTGGAGTTGTGACCTGTTGGACAGGGGCTTGTCTGACTCAAAGAGAAACCCAAAGGATCTTCCCAGTGCCCCCATGCAACCTTTCCCCAGAGCTGGGTCATGGTCCAGAGATCCCAGAGAGATGCAAAGCCACAATCCTGACAGCTTGTAGACGAAAAAACTTTCTGGCTGGTTTCCCCAGGATTTTGGCCACAACCCCTAAACTCCTCTCAAGCTTCCATTTTCTCTAATTAAAAATTCTGGTTCCAGCTGGAAGTAAGGGACTGTACATCACCCTTTCCTGCACTTGTGTTGCAGCTGCATTCTGGGGAGTGCGAAAAGCATCTGCTCTGTGCCAGGTCACAATAACAAACAATTAGACCATCCTGTGTGCCAAGAAAATCCCTGGTGCAGCGGAAGCAACAGATGCAAGCAGGCAAGGCTGGAAGCAGACAGGGTTGGAAGGAGGGGGACACAAGCCTTCCCCTTCTCATGGCACCAGCTCAACATGCCTCTATTAGAGCTGCACCTCCCACTGCACACTATCATGGTAACTCAGAAAAGAGGAGAACTGGGATTTCTTGATTAGGAATGGAATAGCAGTGATTTTAAATCACCACTGCTGGACAGCCTGCAACTCCAAAGCTGCAGTTTCAGGGTAGCTTTCTGATGGGGCTGCACCACTGCACCTATTTGTGTTGAAAAGGTTTCTGCTTATGTCTATTGCAAGAGAAAATTGATGGGGTATGTGGATTATTTAATTTTTTCAAGACTTAGATCCTAGGTTCCAAATGCAACCAAGCACAGTAATTTTACCCGAAGCAGCTGGAAAAGATGCTAGATTCACTAGCCATCTGGGTCTTCCCTTCCAGCCCCTAAATGGTAACTCAGAGTGTGGGAATTATTAAGGAGAGGCAGCTGCACAGTTGTTCTCTAAAAACAGATTTGCTGAGCATACCACTAACTATAGTAGGGAGTATAGGACGAAGTGTGCTTCAGTCATGTGTTAACACAGAAGTTAGTCATACTATAAAAGGCGTTTTAGTCACAACACCACCCTGAGCACTGTTTACTTCTACTAAACAGTTCCTTTTCAGAAAAAAAAAATCATCATGACATACCAGCTTGACTGACATTTTAGATACCATCCTTGCTAAAGCACTTTTACACTGTATTTGCATTAACCCCATCAGAAGTCAAGGTTTCTGCTCTTGAGTGGTAAAAGGTAACTTTGGGCTACGTCCTGCCTGAAGTTCCTCACCTGTAAAATAGAGATATTGTCACTTCAAAGCACTATAGTGAGGCTTAAGCCTTGGTGCAAAAAAGCAGCCCTGTTCAGGTAAGTATGCCTCAGTCAGAGTGAAGGTACACACATTATTTCAGCATATTTTCTTATGCCTGGTATCTTAGGATCAGACTGCAGAGAAATTTATGCTTCTGAGTTGTAGGAAGGCAAACAAATGCAAATAAAAAGAGGAGATTTATCTCTAAAATATTCCGAGATTCTCAGACAAAGGATATTAGTTGAATACAAAATACTAAATTATTAGGTGTAATTTCAGATTCTGAAAGACTCCTTTGTTTGAGCAAATTTCTTCCTATATTATGGTAATTCCTCTTTTAGATTTTATTGATTATATTCAACATGGGAAACATCTCAAGGCCTCACTGAACACAGCTGGCTGAGTGTTGTTTTTCTGCCTCATAAATATGCTGGGGGGAGTTCATCAACAACCAAATGTTTGAACTGTGAATTAGTTTTGATATCATTTTGAAAACATCCAAGACTAAACATTTCAATAATGACATTTTGACATTTTCAGAATGCAACTTGTTCCAAAACTTCTTTCAGAGTAAGTGACTTTTTAATATAAAATTTTAAAAGGTTTAAAGAACAGAATCCTGTGGTGGTGACATATTTCTAAGATAAGCATTTCTCTTAACTCAAAGCTACTTTTTCAAATTTCATTTTACATGAAAATTTGAAACATGCTCCCTTTCAAAGAGAAAAAGTATCTGAAATGGTGGGATTTCATGGTAAACACAAAAATTTATTCTCATTTCTGCAATTGAACCTAATCAGACCAAGATCATCTGCTTTTCCTGACCAAACTCTTAGCTGAGTTAGAAATGTCAGAATAAGAACTACATACAAATAAATGGCTGTTTGCAGCAGCTCTTTTGAGAAAAGTGAAGTAAAATGGAAGAAAACTATTATTATTGCAAAAAAATTGTATTCATGAGCATCAAGGCTGCAGATTTGTGCACAAGAGGCAAGATATGACTGCCTGAGCTCCTTTGTAGGTTGAGGTCATCTGCCTTGCACGTAAACTAAGTTAAAAATATATATTTTAAATATATATTAAAAAAGTGTATATTCATCTTGCCTTTGAAACCTAGTGCTAAAATCCTGTTTGTGCCTGAGCAGAAAGCCACGAAATCTCCCCAGCCTCACTGGAGTTCCCATCCTGTGCATGCAGGAAGGAGCTGGCAGGTGGGCACAGGCAGGGGTTGACACTCCTGTGCTGCACAAGTGGGTGCAAGACCAATCTCTTCTCCAGGGACCTTTACTCCCCTGGCAAAACAGAAGCACAGTGTGTCCCCTTCAAAGCACAAGTCTTTGCAGGCTGCTGAGTACCATGAACCTTGCTTTATCATATCTCCCGAGGGAGTTCGGTTTTCCTTGGGCACTGCTGGGCACCCTCCTAATCTTTCTGTCTGAAAAAGCGTGACTTTCTTACGGGGAAATGTTCTGTATAGGGAGTAAGTCAGTACAGAAAAATACTCTTCTCCTAGCTGTGCTTTAGTTTGTCAAGGTACTTCAAACCCATGTGAAATATTATGAGTGGCCCTTTTAACTTCAGAGGTGGTTTAAAACCCTGCTGTTAATGCTGACTGAAATCTGATCATCTGATAAAAGTCACATTTGAACATTGGCATGAACCAAACATTATTAATAAAACACTAGGGAGCAAGTTAGCTCTACAGAAACCAGTGGGATAAAGAAAATTCACCTGTTACAAAGCCAGATTTAGTATAAAAATTCCATCTGTAAAATACTACCCTCCCCTGTAGAAAGAGGGCAATTTCATTGCTCAGTCCTCACCTGTGAGCAGGAGAAAGGGGGCACCAGGTAGCGCCTAACCAGCAGAGAAGTAAGACCAGCCCATGGTGACAGCATCTAGCATCGCAGATGGGGTCATTTGAAGCACTGCATGGCTGACACATTTGTTTTGATAACACATTCTCAGGGACTCCAGAGATACTTCTGCATATTATTTCCTGCTGAGAAAACTAACCCAACAGCGTGACACTGGTATGTTTCTTTCTTTTCCATGTACATGCAGTGATGGTGAATCATGAAGTCACAATAGCAAAGAACTGGTTAAAATGAAGCAGTGCACAAGCTAACTATCCTCCAGATATTGGATGGACTGGATTTACATAGAATTCATCTCAAAAGGCCGGAGAAGCAAAAGCTTTTGTTGTGTTCTGCTACATAGTCTTCAGAAAGGAAACATCACCAAAGGGAAGGAAATAGAAAAAGGAAGAGGACTATAGTAAGATCAGGGGCTGATTTAAATTCCTTCTGCAATGAGAATTATCTCACTTCAAGAGAAGCCTTTTCTCCTCCTAAAAGTTCTCAAAATAGTTCCTGTTTCTGTCTAGTCCTTCAGTTGTGTATTGTGTGGCACTTAAAACCACTTCTGTTCCAAGTTTGGTGGGTTTGTTTTGTTTGGTTTTTTTTTTGTGAGTTATTGTTTTTATATATAAATAGCAGCCATAATTCTGGACTGCCCTGGTTTGGTGGATGTGATGCTCATGCCTATGCAATGTTTGGTTTTCAATTTTCTGTTCGGTACTGGTGCACTGATTTGCACAGGGCATCTGCTGGGGAGGTACTAGACTAGGACTGACAGACCAACTCTGAGAACAGAGCAGCTGAAAAGACTCTCAAAGGATTTGCCACAGGTGACTGCAGCCCAGTGAGGGCATGGTTTGTGTAGCATGCTTTTTGGTTTTCAAATTAAAAGCATTGGAGAAGTGAAAAATACTATTTTGAGATTGCCTTTCAGTTCACTATCTTCACAGATTAGTACCTTGGGCTACCTCTCACCATTGAACCCTCCTCCAGGGCCAGTGCTGTTCTTTTAACAATCACTTGCTTCAGGAATATTCAACTTGAAAACGTTTTTTTTTTCTTTTTTAAAAACGAGAGGTTGAAAAATTGAACACCACAATACTTATACCAAACAAGTTCAGGTAAGTACAAGTTATGTGTAACTACTTGGTCAAGGTATTAAGATGCAGTAGGATCTCTGCTTCTTCTGGTTTTGAATACTGAGGTTGCAATATCTGAAAGACATGAACTCCTGAGTGTGCCTGGTCAACTTTAATGACACTGAAAAAAAGGACTCCTTAGATGATGAGACTATAAATGTTATAATTGCATCCACTGATCTTTAGGTGGCACATCTCTTATGGGTGTAGCTTAAATATTTAACACACATGAAAGTGGATCCTTGTCTGTGCAAAGCTTACCCCACCTTATTTAAAATATTAAATTCATATCCTACTGTATCTCATATCCTACCCTATCACATCCTACCTGTCCTCATCTATTTAAATACATAATTTCTTCCCACTTAATACATGTTTAATATGATTGGGTTTGTTTTGCCTGCAAATATTTCACTACTGTGGTATCATGCATAGCTTGGTTAAAGACAGCAAACAAACACCTCAAGCCTCTGGGATGACAGCTAAATGCCACTAGCAGCAGACTTACACAGGAGGGTTCAGCTTTGAGTAACTGAGAATGAGCCAAAATAGAAAAGGAAAAAATATTTACAGCTATCCATATTCATTCATTACTGAGTATGACTTGATTAGTAATTTCCTCAAAGAGTAAAAGATCTATTCATTGTTCCAAAAGAATTTATTGCAAATATTGGATTTAATATGTGAGTGGGGGTAAAATAATTTTCCCTGCTTAGATGATTAAGTTTGAAAAAGTTTAAGGTCATATTTCACAACTTTTTCTTTAAAAACATTTCCACAAGTTCCTGGCAGTAAACTCATTTTCTAGGATATTTATTTAAAATAATGCAATGACAAAAGGAAAAAAGTGAAAGACAAATTTAGAAAATTCAAAAAATGGAAGTTAATATTTTCTGGTAGCAGCCTTGTTAGCAATTTCTTTCCAACAAAGATGTTATGCACAGATTTCCTGCAGTTTGCAAAGCAGTAACCTGAAGACGCCCAAAACAGAGGATGTTTTCTTTAACAGTACAAGGTGGAAAGATTTATTTTGAGACCATTAACTGCTGTGAGGCTCGTGGGCAGTCAGTGGTGACTCAGCAGTCTCAGCCCACCTTACTCTAGCCCATGCAGCTCTGCAGCCAGCAGCCACTATGTTCTCTCTAAAGGGACCTGAAGCACAGCTGGGACATGAAGAATTGGAGTCCTTGTCTTTATTTTATTACTTCTGAAAAACAATCACCCCCCCAAAAGTGACATTGTATGGCATAACTCAGTTCTGACATGCTGATGATCCTTCACCCTGTCCTAGCTACCGTCTATGACAGTGCAAATCACTAACAGTCTGCTACTGCCATTTGAAAAGCAGCTGTGTGAAGCATGCTGTTGGTTTGAGATTAATGGTGATTCTGTGAAGTTCTTCTGCCACATAAAATGCTGTACTATGTCAAGTAAAATGCTCAGATTTAGTTTCACATAAAAAAAACAAACAAATGTTTAAGTGAATGTGTATTCTGTAAACTCATGTTAATAAGCATTGATTCTTATTCCAGAGTCAATGATAGATCAATCTCCATATCAACCTTTAAAATCAGTTTTGTCCAGAACTAAGGTCTAGGTTAGACCTCTATAATTATCTAGATTATGCCATTTACCCTCCCTAAAATCTGGCATGTCAGGAAATTTCTTTTCCTCTTCAGGAACTTCCTAAGCATTTAAAAAAACCACAAAGTAACGCTTTGGGCACTATCTTGGCAAATTCTGGATATAAATTACCTCTATTTTCTGCTTTTTAAAAGTACAAATCACATAGTTGTTGAGTTACTATTGAAAAATATGGCATTTCATCAAATCATGGCTGGCATCAAATGCTGTCCTCCTCGTGTGAAGGAGACCAAGTGGTAAGTAATTTGCATTCCAGTATAGTTATGAATATTTCTAATAGCTTGCCTTTGTACCAGACAAATATGATCTTTAGTATTTCTGTTTTCCCTCAAACATTTTTATATCACTGTTAGTCTTCCCCTCTGAACAGAAACGCTATGGAGGGGGATCACTCATTCATCCCATACCTCACCCTGGCTCTACACTTTCCCATTTCACCCTTCTGGTCTCTTCCTTTGATCTTCATTTTTACACCAACTTCTGCATTTGCCACAGCCATCACTCAGCATGTACTCACTCAGGTGACAGCCAAGTTGCTGTGGACCTCGGGTTCATGGGCACAGCATCAGCCAGCACGGTCACTGCCTTGGCTCCTGTCCTCCCTCACCCTATTTGGCATTTCCCTTTCCTGCTCACTTGTGTGCCCCTGGCACTCTTGTTTGGTTTACACTTGCCATCTGTTCCTGGTCATTTCCTTTTCCACAGTTTTATCACAATATTTTATTCTTGTAGATGGTTTGAATTACAGGGGATTTAGGCCATTTTACTCCTACATTAGTACAGCCAAAATATCATAATATTCCAGTTTACAAGTATTACCTTTAAATCATTGCTTGACACACCATAATTTTCCCTAAATGATGCACACAGTCAGGTTCCCTCACCCACAGAAGAAAAAAGGAGGACAGCCAGACAGCAGATAAGATACTAGCAGACTTATTTCAATATTATCATGGCCTACACAGTATTTATGCCTCACCACCAGCCCGATCTGAACTAACCTAATCGCACCAGTTTGCAACATATACCACCAACTGTTAAGTCATTAACCCTCAGCAGATACTGAGAGAAAGTATGCAAAGTCACTCGTACAAAGCATTGCTCAAATGATAGCAAATGCAATGATCCCAAGAACTGTTACCCCCTCTTCCATTTTCTTCAAGTATTTCAGTAGTTATCCAGCACTTCAAGATAATTTGACATTTAATTTACAGCGTGATCACTTTTTGTCCTACAGAAGGCAGAAAAGCTATGGACTGAAAGGAGGAATTGTTGGAGAAAGATGTGGATAGAAGGAAGAATAATGAAGTACCAACATCTCTCCTACATATGCTAAAACAGTATCTTAACAGAGAATTTAAAAACACACCAAACACCACACCACAGAAATAGCTCCTCCATAAAGTTACAAACAAGGTTATTGGCATTGACAGCAGTTAACCAATACCACAGTAGTCCTGCACTTGTAACTAATATTAACCTCGGCAAAAAAGAACGTGGTTTTTAGTTTCCAGGTAGTCACAAGTCATGGATCCACAGATAACTCATGATCCAAGATAAAAAAACTGTTTTGTAATACTAAACCTGATGGAGAGCTATAAAAAAAACCACTTTTGTTTACTTTCTATATGGTAAATTGCTGCATGTGCAACTTTCATCAAATAGCTGTTTCAAATTATTTTGTAATGTAAATATTTCAAAGTCATAATATTTCTTAATTATATATGAGTTTGAAATTTTTAAAGAACTTCTAATAAAGGATAAAACAGTTTTTAGTCTCTCCAGGTTCTCTTCTCTCCATAGTCCTGCCAATCCATTCAAGTCAATGGGTGCTAATTATGTGTTATTGATGTCAAGATTACTCAGGCCTTAGAAGATGTGCAAAGATATATGTGGTACATAGATATGTTACCCATCTGCTCTCAAATTCAAGCTGAGAAAATGCTAGTGCACTGGCTTGTTCAACTACAGAAGTGCTTTGACATTTATTTTACTGAAGGAAGAAAGCTGCTTTTATTTTATTATATTTTTTGTTGGGATATTCCAGATAGTCTTTATCAACAATCAGATTCTGGCTCCAATGAAACTGGTGATTACTCCCATGATTTCTCCTTGGGTGACTGTAGACATCTATCAACATCAACCATTTCCCAGGTCATTCTAGTTAAGCACCAAAATAGGAGTCTCTAGATTAATAAAACCGGTAAAGTGATTTTCAGACTTTTCAGATTTTCAGAGCATTACTTTCATCAATTTTTGCAACAGACAGTTTCATTAGAGGAGAGCAGAATGGCCCAGTAGCATCCAAACAGTTGAAGTCAGTTCTAATTCTGTTTAATCCTTTCCATGTTCAAGCTATCGCAATACGAGACCATCATAGCAATGACCAGGCAGAAACAGTTATCTCCCCAACCCTAGCTCCCTCTAACTTTCCCACCCCCCAAACCCCCCAAACATCACACGAGCAAGAAATCTGTCTTTGGTACACGTATAGACTCAAAAAGGTCTGTATTTTGGGGCAACACTTGTCTAGTTTTCTAGGGAGTTGCAAGAGAGGACTTTACAACAGAGCCCCAGAAGTAACACAGAGTTACTCTCCATCCCCAAGCACTCACACCCCATTCTGACCCTATTAATACCTTCATGCTGCCCCACAGATCAGGTGCTCCTCCAATGTGCACTAAAAGGAGGGTGGAAGGCTTCATGGGGGAAAACTGTTTTGGCAAGAGGAGACAAGATAGTAAAGTGTGTAGGGAAGGTTTCCCTGCCCATGGTGGTGGTTGGCCCCTTCAAACCCACACCATTCCATGATTCTATGACAGATGAGCAAAGGACAAATCCTGCACCACCATTATCAACATACATGGTAATGCATCCCAAGCATTTATTTTCTGCTTAGGTTTTAAGAAAGGCTTAAGCCATGCTTTCTGTGATTATTAGTGAAAATAGCAGCAGTATGACATGACAATGTAAGGCAGCACCAGTCACTCTCCCACAAGCTGCTATGCCCTTCCAGCACACAGTTGCTTCGGGTCTGGTTTTGCACTGGATCAGTTTCTTGGCCTGATTTTGAGTGGAATCCCACATGCTGTGGACTGGGAGTATTTTCTTACTACTAAACAACCCTCC